GGATTGGGAGCGCAGTGCGCCAACCGTTGTGCTCCAAAATACACGGACGCACACACGCGCACACACACGCGCGCGCACACACACACGCACACACACGCACACACACACACACGCGCACACACACACACGCACACACGCACACACACACACGCATGCACACACACGCACACACACGCGCACACATACACGCACACACACGCACACACGCACACACACACACGCACACACACTCACACACGCACGCACACTCACTCACACACACACGCACACACACACGCACGCACACACACACACGCACGCACACACGCACACACACGCACACACACACACACGCACACACACACACGCTCGCACACACGCACACACACGCACACGCACACACGCACACACACACTCGCGCACACACACACGCACAAACACACACACACGCACGCAGACACGCACACACACACGCACACACGCACGCACACACGCACACACACACACGCGCACACACACTCACACACACGCACACACACACGCACGCACACACACGCACACACACTCACCCACACACGCACGCACACACACTCACACGCACACACTCACACACACACGCACACACACGCACACACACTCACATGCACACACACGCACACACACACACTCACATGCACACACACTCACACGCACACACACGCACACACACACGCACACACACGCACACACACGCACACACACTCACACTCAATACACGAACGCACGTGTGATGGGGCGCATGCTTGAGCACACAAACACACGCATGCCGTAAGCACGCAAATTCGCACCCTCACGGGCACCACCGCGTTCGTCTTTGCCTTTGGCGCTGTACAGACTCCCCAATGTATTATTTGGGGGGCTGATACAGCGGTGCTGTTCGGCATTCCGTCGGGCGTTTCCGTTCCTGAAGAAACACCCAGGATGTGTAGTGAAACGTCGGACATCGTGCCGAGCAATATGCAGCGTAACCCGTAACTTTCCAATGTTGTCCCAACATTTGCATGCAGGTGAAACCGTTGCACCAACGTTGCTCCAACGTTCGACGTTTACTGTGTAGGAAAGCTCTGCAGATACGGATGCCAAGCACGCGCACGCGCCAACGTGTGCATGCACACACGTACACACACACACATGTCAGCACGTTTATGCAAATATTGCGTTCAGAGGCAAGCACACACTCGCACACACTTACGCATAAATACATACAAACTAAACACGCGCGCAGACACAGCACACACACACACACTGACTTAAGTACACCCACGTGAACACACACACGTAAACACACTGAACACGTATTGTTGGGCCAACGGTTCCAACCACATGCCAACGTTTTCCCAACGTTGGCATGTTTACTGGGAATATATGAACATGAGCGCATACAGAGAGAAAGGTCCCCGGTATAGCCTTAACAGACTGTTGGGACAAGTGCTGTTAGCGAGCACCTATGAAGGCCGGCACGGCACACGAGGGGGTGGGTGGCCAGCACCACGCCCGGCCGCCTTGGTCTCCCCAGTGGCGACGTTTACACATCGCACCAGGTACTCATTTGTGGCTGAGTCGACCTAGGGGACGCCCAGGGACCGCTTTAAATAATCGTCACCGGTGTTGGCCGTGAGCGGGAATCGAACTCGGGCGCCTGGTTCGTAGCGCAGCGTAGCGCTAAATGCTTCCCGGGGACATGCAAGCCTCCACCACCTCTCACCAAGTGATGGTCCATTTATTTTGATTCCATTCATGGGGAATAGAGTATTCAACATTGGAGATGACCATTGTGCGCATTACATCAAGGGCAGTTCAGAGTTTTTATTTTGTATTATTATTATTGCTATACAATAGGTGGTGTGTACCAAATGGAATGCAATTACAACCACAGTTTGTATTGCTATCGTATCTCAAGGCCATTGGATCTCAAGGCAGTGGTACATTGCTGAATGAAGACCTCGTCACGCCGTGTCGGTAATGGGGCGTTGTGTTTGACCATACTTCACCACGCCTGTCAGTGCAGGTTATTGAAGGGGTGGGCACAGGGCCGCTTCAGAGTATTACGAGCAACTGACGTTAGCCGTGAATCAAACTCACTCAACCACTGTACAGAATGTGCATTTGCAATCGTTTTGTCACGCCGCTGCTGGATGAGTACCATGGGAGGGGGGCAGGTTGCTTAACCATAATTCACCACGCCTGTCAGCGCTGGTTGGTGCTGGCGGACAGCACAGACGCAGAAGTACAGCGCAACAATGCATGTATCTGCACTACTCCATACGGCATAGCTCCGCAAACCCTACGACAATCCTGTGTGTGCACGGTGCTCACCAATGCAAACACTCGCCCAGGCTCAGCCCGGTGAAGTTGATGGGATCGGGTGCATTCCGGGTGATTTGGTGGCAAAGCGTGTCCTGAAATAGCAGCTGTAAAATTGTGGAACAGCACACAACTTCCAGACGTCTCGCCAATTGGACAATCGCGGACACGCTGTCCAGCGGCCATTCTCACCACGGAGCCAATCCATGTTGGGGAGAAGGTCGATGTTTTCATTCCTTGGGCCACGCGGTGATTTCTCTTTGATTTACGGCGCGGCATCATCTTCTGTAAATGGCCGTAAGAAAAAGTGACACTATTGATCGTCAAGAGGTCATTGCATTCCGGGCGTAACAGCCTGAAAACTGCACTTTTGGGACATACAATTGCAGTATTTTTTTTAGATTGTAACGACCGCTCTGTAATTACAGGTTTTTTTTTGGCAAGTTCTTGTCTCTGCGTAGGAGATGGGGGACTCCTTCCACGTGATATCCAAAGCGATTAGGTTGTGAGATCAGACTACGGGTTGATCTTGATTACATTATTTATTTTATCATCCATAACCATGCCGAGTGGACGCTACCGTGGTGCTAACGGTACGGTTAGCACCACGGGACCTGCGACTCAGAGGTCGCCGGTTCGATTCTAACTCCTGGCCCGGCAGCTGAAACAATGCGGCGAGTTTCTACTTTACTATTGTACTTTCTTTTTATCCGAATGCCTCGTCCATTAAACACAACAGACGCTTCTCCCTAATCGCCCCAACTTTCAGACTGGTCCTGTGAAAATGTGTAAATTTCCTTAATTGCTCTAAAATTACCATTCAATGGCATTCTCTTTTACCGTGGTGCCCCAAATAAACTTGAACAATTTTGTTTGCCTTCCCAGACATCCAGACGGCAATCAATAACAATGTTTCTGGACAGTGACAGCCTAGCAAGGTCGCTCATGTCTGAGCCGCTTGCCAGGTTAGGCTGCATTGTCATATTATATATCAGTGTTCAGAGAATTGTAGCGTTTGCTTATTGAGTTTCAACACAATTTTACGTGAGGACCACGTTCACTTGGAGGTTGAGGATTTCAAGCAATCGATAGAATTGTGAAATTGTAACGATGGCGAGAGCCAAACGCCGTTTTAAATCCAATGCGTTCGGCCAAGAATCATCGTCTCATTTGTTGGGGCACTTTTCGAGATGAATTTGAATCTGGTGGGACGAGACTGCAGAATGTCGCACTTTGTCTTCCGTTTGCCGGATAATCTATAAACAGGCCCTCAATTTAATTTCCCAGTCTGCAAGCTAATAAACGAGACTTAAAATTCCATTATCCATCTTAGCCTTTGTCTTGTCAATTAAATTAACTTTACACGGTAATGGCAGCATTGATTTGTTTTGCGTATTATTCTCAATTAAAGTTCGGTATAATCTGAGCACCGGATGTTTGCTTTGTCGGTTGCATCAGCCAGCAGGGAACGCCGGCTCGGTCTCCCGGACACAACGGGACACGTTTCTTAAATCTACCCCACCCCCCCCTATGCCTACCTCTGTCCAAATCTCAAATCTCCCCCCGCCTGCAGCAACGGTTAGTCGATCGCCACCGCCTGTAGTAGGGTAACACTTTCGATGAACCCGCCTCTTCCGAGATGTCTGGCCAGCGTAGAGGTGAAGGCCAGGTATCCACGAGAAGGGGGCCCTCCATAGCTATCTGCAGCGAAGGCACCTTCGCCGGCAGTTGTGCGAGCAAGCGATTGATTGGCCACAACGCTTTGCGTGTCATCTTTTTGTAGCCGTTGACTGCCAAGCTACCTACCATTAGCTAAACATGAGGTAGGAACCCGGCTTATTCTTGTCCTGCGTGCGCGTCTGCGTGTGATTTAAACGTCGATGTGAGCGGCGTCGGCTCGGCAGCTCTTGATGTGTCTGTCTGTTATTGTCCTGCGCCAATCAGCCTCTCACTCAGGGTGTGGTTGACGCTAAGCGGGACTGTCAGCTTCTGATTTTTTGTAAAATTGCACTGGGCATTGCCATTTTCCAAGAGGCCACATATGTGGCTGTAGAGCTCCAGGCTCAGCATCTGCGAGTCGTCAGTGTGTGAAATTGATTATAAATATAGAAGAATACCATTTCCAATGAAATGCGAGTGTTCACTTAGTAAAATTAAAATTGTGTTTTTTTTTTCCTCCTCGGGAATGAGGCAATTATCTTAATTTGAATCTTCTTAACATAACGAGCCTTGGAACTCTGGGAAAACCCGCGACGGAATCAAGCGTGCAGAATGCAACACGGCGGGTGGAACGCGTCCACAGAGTGGTTGACGTTGCCGGTGCGAGGTGGATGCTTGCACGAGAGTGGTGGCGGTGGCCTTGGAAGGCCTTCGTCCAGCAGTCGATTGAGCATTGTCAAAGATGAGGATGAACACTTAGACGTTGTACTCATGAAGAGCATTTACAAAAATAACAGCGTAACTAATGATGGTATTAAAATAAAAATAAATAAAAAGTGAAACCCACGACGTTTTGGCGTGGGTTTTATTTTTAATTTATTTTTATTTTATATCTACGTGACTTTACCGAAAGAACCAAGAATATGAAAATGATGGTATGCCTCACAATTAATCAATAGCTTGCTCACTTTGAACCAGTCTGATGACCGTAGGCTATATTGTGTGTTTTCACTCCACAGTTTTGAAGCTGCTTAAAGACTCCTTCAACCCCAACGCAAAAAACCTGAATGGAAACTCCCTGCTTCACACGGTGAGTTCGCGATGGTTGTTACCGACCGTAAGCTCAGTGACAATGATCTGAACCGGTTTTGTGCTTCCCATAGGTCGACTCAGCTTTAAACGAGTACCTTGTGCAGTGTGTGAACATCAGCACTAGAAGGCGCCGGGCGTGGTACCTGGAAAACCAGCAGCAAGTGTGTAATTGTGGCCTCAATAGGTGCTCGCCAACAGCACTTGCCCCAACAGTCTGTTCAGACGACACGACGAATTTACGTCTTTGATTCATATTGATATTCGAAATATCTTAACTTGAATGCGGTCTTTTCTATGAAACATGGGACGCAAATCTAACAGACATAGACGTGAACGAGCGGTCATCGGCCGTGTGTGCCGGTGCACAATTATTTTATTTGCACGTGAACGTACAAGAGAAAGGTGGCACCGTGGCGAGATTCGATTAATCGATTTTGCGCAAAATGTCCGGGCATCATCGTAAGCCGCCCAGTCATCCAACACAGCGGCCCGTGTCATCAATGTGGGAGTGAAACGGGGTGATCGTGCAGCCCCAATCCAACTACAATTACAGGCGCCCGCCACTGAACATCACGTTTTAAATCCGACCTGATAACCGTGATGACACTACCGGCGTGCTGACGGCGGCCAGGTATTACGTTGTGAGCCCTAGGGCTTTAGTTATTTGTGGCAACCCACTGACAATAGCTATCTCGCGGTTTCAAAAATGCGGGCCGTAATTGTTGAGAAAGATGATATTGGCTGTTAATGATAATGACAATGAGTTAATCACTACACATTATGAGGCTCAATTTGATCATCATTTTCTCCGTAGTGTCAGGGTCAAGTGTAATGGATATAAATGTAATAGGGCGGTGACGGAAAAGAAGAAGAACACGTGCTGAAAAGGCTAATAACTGAGCTGTTATTATTTTCTAATTTTCACTGATCAAATCACGTGGATTGTAATGCCGATGCATTGTCATTCCTCTGGTCGCCGAGATAAGAGTTACCGCGTGGCATTTCATTGACATACGCGCGATTCTATATAAAGGATTGTTCAATAACGACCCTTTGCAGAATGTGCGTTGCTGTGGGTAATAATGCATGAAAGCGCCTCGGATTGGACGACTCCTTGTGCGGGGCTGTTCCAGTGTAGGTATAAGCTCGTACGAGTGCAATATACATGGAGATTTCAAAATGAAGCACACATAGTTCATAGTTATTTGGTATAGCCCTGTGAGCCATTCGGCTCTTGAATCGGGTGCAACCGCAACAAACAAAAATAAAAAAAAATTGATTTAAAGCTTTCGTGACTGCAGTAATTCATATTCTTAGCTCTTTCGGTAAAGTCACGTTGAAGGGAAACAATAAAATAATAAAATATATATAAAACAATAAAAATTCTCACGACGTTTCGACCATAACACAAACGGTCGTCATCAGATGACGTCATCTGATGACGACCGTTTGTGTTATGGTCGAAACGTCGTGAGAATTTTTATTGTTTTATATATATTTTATTATTTTATTGTTTCCCTTCAACGTGACTTTACCGAAAGAGCTAAGAATATAAAAATCAAAAACATGAACAAGAAAACATCTTAAAGTGATTATGTGACTGTGTAAACAGAAAATCCAGGAAAAAAACATCAAAATATTCCTGAAATAACACCGTACACCAATGCTGTGTGCAAAAATCCCAGTGGGATGCAAGTCAAACAACAACAACAACAACCACAAGACAACTAAGATTAAAGCCATCAGTCTCACTCCGTACTACAATAAACAAAAACATGGCCAAAACAAAAAAAAACGTTTTCGAAATCACCAAAATAAAGCCATAAATGCAATGTAACAGTGATCATAGGAACTGTGACCGAATTTTTAACAATAAACGACAAATAAATTATAACACCAAATCCTAGAGTCATATTTTAGGCCACTGAATAGCAATGGCAGCTAGGGGTGTACAACTCCTCTAGAGCAGTTTTTTAGTGAAGATCTCATAGGTAGTGATTCAAGTTGCAGTTTATTGGCAATCGCAATGTAGAGATCACAGTGGTGAGTCCTATATGGGCAGTTCAATGCAAATCTTAAGGCCGAGTGATAGATGGAATCAAGCTTCTTCAGTACAGTACTTGGGGATGATTTATACACGATGTCACAGTAGTCAAGTAGAGGCAGTATGGTAGCTTTTATCAATTCCAAACAGAACATTGGGGGGAAGCAGAGCTTGTGTCGATACAGAAAACCAATTTTTATTTTTGTATTTTTACCAATATAATCAATGTGATCTTCAAAATTCAGTTTTGAATCCAGGATGACCCCAAGATACTTATAGATCTTGACTTGCTCTATTTGATAATTATTCAAGGAATGTAATTGGGGAAAAATAACTTCCTGCTTTAGTCCCGGTGAGAAGCATAGCACCTTGGTTTTGGAGGTATTCAGGACTAGTTTAAGATAAACTAGCTGATGTTGTAGTTTGTTGAAATCACCTTGGAGCTTAGCAATCACGTCATCCAGAGAGCGGCCAGCAGTAATCAGTATCGTGTCATCTGCAAAAAGATTTACCCTGGAATGATCCAGGTCAGTGCCCAAGTCATTGACATAAAGAAAGAACAAGAGGGGGCCGAGGATGGAACCCTGTGGAACCCCTTTTGTTATCTTAACACTGTTTGACCTCCAACCATCCGCGAATACAGTTTGGGTGCGAGAAAAGGGGTAATTTTTTACCATTTTACTGTGTTTTCGGAAAAACCGAGGCAACTTAGTTTACTAAGCAGGGTGTTGTGGTCTACTGTATCAAAAGCTTTGGGTGGAGAGGCTGGTGAAACACCGATGAGATGGTTCTGCTCAAAAAAAGCGGAGAGTCGTAAGAGCAGAGAGTACATATAATATACAATCATTCATGACAGCGTTTTTTTTTGGGGTTAGATTGCATGAATGTCAATGTGTCGTAAACACACCTCCACCCGGCACAGCCAATTGGTAAGGATTTTCACGTGAACGAAACGGTGTGTGGGAGCTCTAATCCACAGCATTTACAATTTGAGCATTACGTTTCGCTGGTGCTCGCAACCAGCATTATGTGGCGACTGCCAGAATAGTGGATGAAGACTTCTATACGATTGTTCACAATTATCGCAATATCCTGATCATATTCGCTGAGAATGCGATGAATTTGCCACGTGGCTCCCATTATCCCTGAAAAAAATTGCGAGCATTAAGAAGCCACTGTGCTACATTCACTCTGGGTGAATATCCACAGATAAGGGGAAGAATTAGGGCCGCGGATTACAGTGAATTCCGTTAACCCGACAGCTACCGTAGATAGGATTAGCGGGTAATAGGGCCACGGAGAGTATGATTAGCGGGTAATAGGGCCACGGATAAGAGGGGTTCTCCTGTAGGGACCGTGCCGACGAACGCTCGGTAGTGCAGGAAAACACTTTGACTTTTGCTTCGAAAGAGGAAATGGATCTGAGAGTAAGACGACGTCACGTTGAATTTACACGTGTGTAATATAATTTAGTAAGGGTAAGTTACGTTTCTTGAAATGCATTGCGGATGAACGTCTCCGATGAAAGTGTACAAGACAGTCGGCGCACAGGCGACGGTACGCTGCAAACGAGGCAGAGTGGAAGCAAGAGAGATCGTTATGATGGAGACGGATTTAAGAGGCAGCGCTATCTCGACGGCTCGTGCGGACAGTGTCGAGGCAACGGATGCCCTCTGCGCCAGCCAATGGTGGAGAAATCTGGGAAGGAAACGGAAAGTGTGCGTGCCAGACGCAACCGAACATGTGGAATAAATGCACGCACGTTCGAATTGCCCCTTGTCAGAATGATATTAAAATCATGCTAATTTTATACAAATGCTACTACTTTTAGGCTGACGAATGAGATAGACAATACAGAGACAACAATTTGACTTCGTTTGGTAGAAAGAATGATGGTAGTTGCTCTCAAGGGCTATGGAGTCGCAGCCAACGAATGGAATGCCTCAAGGTAGAGATGGAGCAATGGAATCAGCACACACGTGCAAGTACCAGGTGCATTATTACATCTCAGGATCTTGATTGTGATGACTGTAGGCCTTCATCCAGCGGTAGATTGATCATGGCTAATGATGATGGGTGCAATTTCTATTCACTGGAACTATTCATACCCTTGGCTCTATTCATCTGTGCAGAGATTTGCCCATAGCAGGAAGCTAAGGTTCCTGCTACAGAGCCCCTTCAAATAGATTTTAATAATTCATACAAACCAATTTATTTCCGCACACATTGGCATGTAAATATTTCATAATCACCACCTCAACATTTTTAACCTCTGAGCACTGGCGGTGGCATGTTGGGATTAAATATGCATTACCCAGCATGCATTGCCTCAATTTTCACGATAAAACTGTCCCCTGCCCTCAAAACATTGGCAGCGCGCGACAGGCATGGGAATTCCACATCTCTATGCCAGTCTACGCATAGGTTGACCACGCTTTGAAAGGCTTTGAGACAAATGACATTGGGTAGAAAGCAGTCACTTGCCTTCTAGTGTGGGCTCTCAGGACCCATCACCAACAAATACCTTGTGAAACAGCACGTAGAGGACTCCCAGTCACTAAGATCATGAGTCATAATTGATTTGTGAGTCAGATCACGTGAATTAATGTGTAGTGCACCCTCCTCCACCCGACACAGACATTTGATAAAGTTGACACTTGAACAAACGTGCCAATGTAATACTGATTCAGCACCACAAGTGTGGTGTTGGAGAGCAATCCACATTTCACAATTGTGTACAGTTGTACTCAGTTTGGTACAGTTGTACTCAATTGTTAAATGTTGTGTCTCCATGTCCTGTATACCCCTGACCAAGTCTCCCTCTATCCTGGTGTCCCCATGTCTGTGTCCCAATGTTCACATATCCATGTGCCCATTCTATCATGTCCCCCCGATCCTGTGTCCCTTATCCCTATATCCTTGTATCACTGTGTCTCCTTGTACCCGTGTCTCCACATCTCCGTGTCCTCGTGCTTCCATGTCCCCGCGTCCCCATATCCCCATGTCCTCGTGTTTCCGTGTCCCCTTGTCTCCATATCTCCGTGTCCCCATACCCCTGTATCCCCATGTCCCTGTATCCCCATACCCCTGTATCCCCGTGTCTCCATGTTCCACCGCGTCTCTGTATATCCGTGTCCCTGTGTCCCCGTGTCCCCGTGTCCCCGTGTCCCCGTGCCCCCGTGTCCCCGTGTCCCCAGAGTGCGCGCAGTAACAACGTGCTGGCGGCGGAGCTGCTGCTGGAGCGCGGGGCGGACGTGAACGCCCAGGACGACGACTCGTGGACGCCGCTGCACGCCGCCGCCGCGTGCGATCACGCGGACGTGCTGCTCCTCCTCCTTCTGGTAGGGCACCTCCGTCCGTTCGTTTTAACACCCGAACACCATCGTCACCCTCAGCGGAAACCAGAACCTCGGGCGTGCTGCTTCGGTTCTTCCAAAGCGATTTCTATTTAATATCATAACTCTGACGACGATGATGATGATGATGACATTTGGTGAAATTGCACCAAGAAACATGGAGAGGGGAATAGTTGGAATGAATTTGGGAGACAGAATAGAGAGCACGTTCATTAAGGGAAATACGCACGTTAATGATATCATTCGTACTGTTGAAGGAATGCTGGTGACGGTTAGGAATAGTAGCGAACTGGCAACCAAGTAAAAGTACGCGAGTGGATGTCCACTGGGTAAATGGAGCAAATAAATCAACGTCTCTGTTGGTACTACGTGGATTGTTGCCTTAAGGAACCATGAAGGATGGCGGTGACTTTGGCAACGCTTTATCCAAAAGAGGGTTGATCATGTCTGATGATGACGATGGCACATGTTCCATCACCACAGCTCACAATGACTTGTTTGCACGTTTATCAGTCCAGTAGTTTTATCAGAGAATGTTCTTCCATGTTTGCTCATCACCAGATGAGAACTCAAGGAATCAGCATGAGTCTCATTCACAGGAGTGATCTGGGGTATTCGTCTGCCAGTTCGGGGGCGATGATGTCTGCTGTATATAATCCCGATTGAGTAATTTGCGAGTCATTTTAGAATTAGGCTATTTTGGGCGAACTCGCTGCCACGGGGCCACGTCGCCGCACTACCGGGGCCGCAGATATTGAATCTCTCAACAAACTCGTCGTGAACATACACAGAGAGAGGGGCCTTTGGGGGGTCTTCGGGATTTGCAAGAGGGCAGATGAGCCGATTGCAGAGTCGTGAGAGAGACGACAGCACGGCGAGGCCTTCATCCCACAGTCGATTGACGGTGGCTGCTGCCGCTGACAACGACGATCGCATTGCCGTGAATATCTCCGTTGGTGCGGGCCACGTGCAGCGACTGGCCCGTGCGCTCCCGTAACGCCGTCCGTCCGCGGGCACCCCCCCCCCCCTCCTCCTTCTCCCGTGCCGCTGCACGCAGGCCGGAGCCAACGTGCTCCTGCAGGACGTGGACGGGAATGTCGCGCTGGACTACACCCACGAGGGCACGCAGTGCCGCCACCTGCTGCTGCGACACCTGGAGGAGAACGGTGGGCTCCGCTGGCGACCCCACCCACCCCCCCACCCCTCCGCGTCACTCGGCGCGATTCGAGGACGTGTTGTTGTTGTTGTTTGACCCTCTGTGTCGTCGTCGTCGTCGTCATCGCCAACTATATGCGATAATCGCTATAGATCTATCGTTTTAGTCATGCATTCATTATTGTGTCTCTTGTATCATCACTAGTGTATTTACACTTCGTGTAATTTTTACTACTCTAGCTGTGTTTCTCATTTCGATATGATTTTTGTCTTATTCGATTTTGGGTACAATTGAGTTTAAGTATGCTTGTTTATAATGTATCGATGTAACTTCCTCTGCAATTTTCCACCATCGCCAAACACAGCTTAGCCTGCCTCTTCATAGTGCATCGGGTTCTTCCAGTTTCAAATGTCTATGCTCTCATCACCAGCCATCATGAATAATATTGGTCGCGAAAGCCTACGTGTTAAACTGATGGTGAGTCTATTGATCGCTACAATGCACTGAAGTATCTTGAACTTCTTTCGCACCGAGCGCAGCATACCGTGCTAATCGGTGGTGCTCCGGGGGGAGGTCAACAAGCTGAAGACAGAAAGTAGATCTACAGAAATTAATTGTCAACCTAATGGAGTGGACTGACCTCCTCGGTGTGGGAATGTGGAATTCCCACCACTGTGGTGGGAGGCCTTGAAGAAAGGCGAGCGACGCGGTGTTTCTCGCTTGAGCGGGGAGACTGCATAGACCGTGACTCCATCGCGATGGACGTACAGACGAGCGAGTTCGCGGAGTTTAATTTCCAAGCGCTTTAATAAACCATGCAATGCGCGCGTGCATCGTTTCATTTTAATGCAGATTAATGTACATCGGGACCATTCGCGAGCATCATTATATTTTAATGTGCATAAACATGCCAAACACAAACAGCGTAGCCTGCAGTGCATTATTTGTCCATGGAGGTGCCCCCCTCGCCCCCCCCATAACAGCAGCTCCCCCACAACACTCCCCCAGCGCTCGAGAGCCAAACATTGCCTCTTTGTTTGATGGGGCGTTCAGCTGTAAGGGAAAACAAACAGCTCTCCCTTTGGTCCTTTTTATTTTCATGGAAACCAACATTGGTATTCCTGGGAGTACTTGGGAAGCAGTGCGAGTGTGTGTGTGTGTGCGATAGAGGAGTGCCGGTGGTGATGGTTAGCGCACTGCACTCCAAAACACAGCGAGCTTTATACCCGGCCACTATCGGGCTATGATTATCTGAACCGGACAATGGCCTCCCCCCTAGCTCGACTCAGTCTTAAGTGAGTACGATACCTTGGCCTGGTGTGGAAACACCATCGAGCCACACCATCCCTCGTGTGCCGCTTCATAGGTGCTCACTCACAACACTTCCCCTAAAAATCTATAAAGGCTTCATGAAGGAACTTTCTGTTAATGTTTTTCTTTACACAGTAACACGTGTACATTGTTAGCACGAATAAAAAAACCCCACTCACCGCGTGAATTCTCATATTATCATCGCTCTATCATTGACAAAAAAATATATATAAGGATATGTTGAGCAATGGCCCGTCTATAGGGCAGCGCACGTAAGTGCATATTACAGTCGTGTGTGTGAGCGAGTGAGTGAGATAGTGAGCGAGTATTCCATCAGAGTAGCCAGCCATTGTCCAGCATGTCGACCCACTATATTGTTCTGTTGTAAAGCAGTGTTAATGATGCACGCAGGCACGTTTGTGTGAGTGCTTTCTGAGCTGTGCCCAGGGATTCATTTCAGCCGGGTTCTGTGGGGGTCAGCGACCTGGAAAATATATTTGCACCCAACACACCACAACCAGTATAACACACCTGGCCCTATTGCTGTGGCCACTATTCCCATGCCAGCCACTCCGGTCTACCAGCGACCGGGAAAATATTCAGTGAGTAATTAATCCCTGGCCGTGCCTTCTGCACCCACTGCCAACAGCAGGCCCCGTAATTTATTTCCGTCTCTTTGTGAGCAGGGCAGCCACTGAATTATTTCCCCGAGCAAAGATTTACATTCTGGAAATTTACAAAGGTTAATGGGTTTCAGTATGTGCGTGGCAGTTAATAGAGTTCATATCAATGACTGCACGGCATGTCACTGTAAGCAATAAACCCACCACGCATTTACGCTTTTTCTTTACATCGGTGGGGAGGTCCTTGCGTGGAGACCAAACGCCCACTCCCCTTCGGAGCAAAGTCGTCTTTGTCTGACCGCCCCGGTGGAGATTTAGGGTTATTTGTTACCATTCCAGAGGGGTTGTGCCCTCAAAAAATCTAGGGTTGTCCTCACACCTGCTCCCCCATAAATGGAATTCTCTGGAAATGGCCCTTCTTCCGGCAGGACGGATTCTTCGGCCGTGGCCGACCACTGTTATAATGCTGCTGGTTCTCATGACATTGTGTTCTCCGATACCAAGGTGCTCTGCAAGCCTCCTGGATACTACCAAAGATTTGTCCATGAAGCCATCCAGATATACAAACATAGACGTAACTTCAACCGAGATGATGGATTCAAATTGAGCAATCATTGGAAAGATGTAATTAACCAAGTCAAACTTTAGCTACCGGGCAGTTTACTGCTAGACAGCCGGTTTAGATGTATTTTCATAAACATACCCACATTCCCAGTCTGTTACCCCCAGTTTTACACACTACCATCGCCATGGTAGTGTGTACCATTAGTAGTTTTTTTAGCTTGCACATTTCAGTTTGAACTCCATACGTTGTTAGCCTGCGCATTTCTAACTTACCCACCAGCAGCATAACAAAATGCGGCTTAATCCTAGCTCGCTTATCTACTTCCGCCATCTACATCACAAAGCCCCAGTTTCGGCCCAAGTCGTTGCCTCCCATCGCTCCCTCGGCTTCCCAACTTCACCTCCCAGCCCACACCCCGCCCCCATACTCACCATGCCCCCCCCCCCTCTCTCCATGGCTAGGCCACTCCTAGACCTTAATGTGCTTCTTCTTGAGCCACTCCTTTGTTGCCTTGGCCGTGTGTTTTGGGTCATTGTCATGCTGGAATACCCATCCACGACCCATTTTCAATGCCCTGGCTGAGGGAAGGAGGTTCTCACCCAAAATTTGACGGTACATGGCCCCATCCATCGTCCCTTTGATGCAGTGAAGTTGTCCTGTCCCCTTAGCAGACAAACACCCCCAAAGCACATTGTTTCACCTCCATGTTTGACGGTGGGGATGGTGTTCTTAGGGTCATAGGCAGCATTCCTCCTCCTCCAAGTTGAGTTGATGCCAAAGAGCTCAATTTTGGTCTCATCTGACCACAACACTTTCACCCAGTTGTTCTCTGAATCATTCAGATGTTCATTGGCAAACTTCAGACGGGCATGTATATGTCCTTTCTTGAGCAGGGGGACCTTGCGGGCGCTGCAGGATTTCAGTCCATCACGGCGTAGTGTGTTACCAATTGTTTTCTCGGTGACTATGGTCCCAGCTGCTTTGAGATCATTGACAAGATCCTCCCGTGTAGTTCTGGGCTGATTCCTCACCGTTCTCATGATCATTGCAACTCCACGAGGTGAGATCTTGCATGGAGCCCCAGGCCGAGGGAGATTGACAGTTCTTTTGTTTTAAAGCTTTCGTGACTGCAAGGATTCATCTTCTTTGGTTATTTCGGTAAAGTCACGTAGAATGAGAATAATAAAATAACACAATAATATTCTCACGACGTTTCGGCCACAACACAAGCGGCCTTCTTTTGTGTTTCTTCCATTTGCGAATAAGCGCACCAACTGTTGTCACCTTCTCACCAAGCTGCTTGGCAATGGTCTTGTAGCCCACTCCAGCCTTGTGTAGGTCTACAATCTTGTCCCTGACATCCTTGGAGAGCTCTTTGGTCTTGGCCATGGTGGAGAGTTTGGAATCTGATTGATTTATTGCTTCTGTGGACAGGTGTCTTTTATACAGGTAACAAGCTGAGATTAGGAGCACTCACTTTAAGAGTGTGCTCCTAATCTCAGCTCCTTACCTGTATAAAAGACACCTGGGAGCCAGAAATCTTTCTGATTGAGAGAGGGTCAACTACTTATTTCCCTCATTAAAATGCAAATCAATTAATACCATTTTTGACATGCGTTTTTCTGGATTTTTGTTGTTGTTATTCTGTCTCTCACTCTTCAAATAAACCTACCATTACACTTATAGACTGATCATTTATTTGTCAGTGGCCAAACGTACAAAATCAGCAGGGGATCAAATACTTTTTTCCCTCACTGTATGTGACTTTACCGAAAAAAAAGAATATGAATCCGTATTCTTGTCCAGGGAAATTGACTTTTCAGGTCCATACGGCGTACAGCCGTTTCAATACGGGCAAGAAAAAAACATTTGTCTATTTGTTTGTGTTTCTCCCTTGTGATGGGATTTTGTAGGATGAACGTTGCGATTTTTTAAAGGCATGGGGTGACCAATACGGTCTGAATTGGTAGTAAGGTAGGCACTGATAAGGGGTTGACAGGTATGTACGTCAAATTTTGATTTAAAGCTTTCGTGACTGCAGTAATTCATATTCTTAGTTCTTTCGGTAAACTCACGTTGAAGGGAAACAATAAAATAATAAAATATATATAACAATAAAAATTCTCACGACGTTTCGACCATATGCAAACCGACACACCTGAAGACGACCGTTTGTGTTATGGTCGAAACGTCGTGAGAATTTTTATTGTTTTATATATTATTATTTTATTGTTTCCCTTCAACGTGACTTTACCGAAAGAACTAAGATTATGAATAGGTATGTACGCCGTACATCGTTTCTGAACAGCACTCTGTTACGACCCGAAAACACAACTCAAGAACCAGACAGTGCAACCCACGTGAACCTACGAGGTAGCAGCAGAATCACTTAATTCACTGTTTATCTCAGCTTGTTAATATTACATATGGGGAAATTAAGAATTTCTCATTAGAGTCCAGGTCAATATTTTAAGTGTAAATGTTTAATATTTAGCATGATTAAGCGAGGCAGTGATGGTGGGTTTTTCCCACCCACGCTCTCGCTGTTCAAATAAGAATGGTGCGGCGAGGATCTGACCTGTCCGCTCACCCACCGGGTGCTGAGGTTCACAGCCCTAAAGGGCACCGATCACAACAGATATTGATGAACGTATTGGCTCAAATGACTGCCAGTCTGCGATTCTCTCCTCGTGCCCGTTGTAATGCTGCCAACTCCACACCACCCAACGTTCCTGTTCAAGTCAGGGCCCAAGACTGTCTGTCCTCTTGTCTTCTGCCTGTGACTAGCCTGTCTAAACTTAAACATTTATATAATGTATGTTGAACTTCTTTCGCACCGTATGTAGCCAACCGTGCTAATCGGAGATGCAATTATTGTTCCGCTTGTTTAGCCAGAGACTATAGCTTCCATGTTCGATAGTTTCCCTTTCATTGTGCAATGTCCTAACTTTGTTGGACATTGTCTTGAGATGCAAAGTTGTGTTATTTGTTTTGAATTTAATTATCGGGCTCCCAACTCCTAGGTCATGCGGAGGTCGTGGGGGCCTTTGGGCCTAACGAAAAGTTAGGCTTCAAAAGTAAGAAATAGTAAAATCTAAACTACTCTGAGTAAGAAATGAATTTACTATAATATGAAGGAATAGTTTGTTTAATTACAAAAACAACGTATTAACCGTTCATAATGCTATAACATATAACAAATGCAGAGTAACAGACAAACTCACACTTGCTCCATTATAGTATTTCTGATGATGATTGCGATCATCATCATCATCATCGATACGTTTGTCTTCGTGAAATGACAATGTTTAAGTATTAACGCAGTACCGAATTACATTTCAAGCTGTCGTCGAGGGACTGCATTCTTATTTCATATTCCTCGTGCGTGAACCAATTCCTATGCACTGGGTTCACAGTTTCATTCTTGCTGTTTATTTATTGTGCAACAGCTTTGCAAATGCATTCCGGGGGAGCAATGCCTTCTCATCATCGCCGCTCCCATGTCACTCAGCTCACGGCTCTGAACAATCGCGGAATGGCGGAAACTCGCCCCGATGTCGGAGTCAAATCGTACCCCGCGTAGCGAACCGATCCCCCTCACTGGCGAATCGCTCTCTTCTCCCCGCATGTTATATAATATAGACTCTCTCTCTCTGCATTCTTACTCCTAGGGGAAACGGTGGCCGTCGATTTAATTACAAACACCGCCCGCCCTGCCGTGGAGAGAGAGGTGGTGGAGCCCGCGCTGATTGTGGCTTGCGGTCCGGAACGTCGCTGTCCAAGCCAAAGGCTTTTTCTCTGTAAAAAAAAAACTCATTCATCCGCGCGATCTGCATTTAAAAAAATGCACGCCCGGTCATCAATCAACAACCGACAGTGTAACATTTTCTTTCCCACTGAAGGGGGCTCGTGGGGGGAGCTATATTTATTTTTATTTCTTCACCCCCCAGGGCTGACAGTCCGAGATGCTGGCTCGGCTCAGCACCCTGACATTAACCTCCTGAGCCACCCCATGTCACTCCTGTGGCCCCCACTGCTTGATGGGACAGCGGCAGGGGTCTCAATAAAGGATGCACAACGCTGTAGGGGTGGTGACTGGTTACTTTAAATTCATTTTCGTCTCCCTTCTTCTCTGCACCCGGCTCAGGAGTGGACGTGGGAGCCCTCAGGCAGCTCAGGAATCAGAGGCCCCTGTCCATGCTGGCTGACGTCACAAAGCTCGTCGCCTCGGGCAGCTGTGTCAACCTCCCCAACGATGAGGGGGTCACGCTGGTGAGTGACGCTTCCTCCACCCACACGGACACGAGGCCTCTCTCCACACGCACACACACACACACACCAACACACGCAGGGTCTCGCCATACAAACACACCAGCAACACCTACACAAGACAAAAGATCCCCCGTATAGTATTTTGCAAGGGATACGCGGATTATAAAGCAAATGATATATATACTGTATATATGTATAAAAGTCAAAGATCCCCCGTATAGCTTTAAAAACTGTTCGGGCAAGTGCTGTTAGCGAGCACCTATCAAGGCCGACGTGGCGCATGAGGGTGTGGGTTGGCCAACACCACGCCCGGCCGCCTTTGTCTCTCTAGTGGCGACGTTTACACACCGCTCTACGTAATAATTTGAGGCTGACTCGACCTAGGGGAGGCCCAGGACCGGTTCATATAATAGTTACTGGTGTTGGTGGCCGTGAGCTGGAATCGAACCCAGGTCATCGGGATCGTAGCGCAGTGGACGAACCACTACACCACCGCTCCTCTGCCAGCACTCTCCATACATACACGGTCTCCAGACACACACCAACACACTCCACACACACACATCGGGGTCCCTGTAAAGGTCAGCACTGCCTTGCTCACCAGATTAAAATTTTCGTCTGGGTTTTGACGTGTCGCTCGTGTTGTTTCCTCTCTCCCGTCTCCTCTGCACCGGTCTGTTCTCGTTTGCATACGATCTGCACACATTATAATTGATCGGTTATTACGCGCGCACCACAATCCAATGCGGGAAACCGTAAAATTATGTTTAAATTGATGAATCGACGTGCCCATACCACACACAGACACGCGAGTCCAGTCTGCACACACGTGTTTACATGTTTACATGTTTCCCTGCCCACATGCCACACATCACCCCCCCCCCACCCCCCGCAAACGCCCATTATCTCTCTGTACACTTCCTACACCCTGCGCATTCACACCACTGCCGCAAACAGCCTTTATCGCCAACATACCAGAACGCCCATAGGGGAATATGTGTACACAGCAAATTTCACACTCGCAACAGCTGCGATCGTGATGTTTACACACAAACACACCCAGGCCCTGCGTGCTCTCATGGATGTGCGCGCGCGCGCTTGCAGTCTCCACAACTGTGCTTGGACCGTCTCACCTTGTTGGGAATTCACCTGCGGTGGCTGATCGCTTCCCATCGCATTCACGCCCCCTCTGTCGCTGCTGGTTGTGCCGTAGTCGTGGCCAGGGGCTTTTATGTTCCCATTCCTCGCGGCCCTGTTGTTCTCTTGCTGCAATGCACTTGGTGCAATTGGCACTTTTTGCTCACGTGCCAAATTCGTTTGATTGGCTAAGTGGGTAGTGGAGGGTTATAGTTTAAAAAAAAAACAATGTTTACATACCTACACGATAAAATCTAAATTAAACGAATTGTAAAATCGTATTGGTCGTGAGAGACTACATTTCAAATGAACGAGTGCTCACAAGGCTATTCATTCGTAATAATAATGTGCTGCGTACGTTTTACTGTTAACTTTCAGTCGATCGGCTCATAACCCCCTGTTGACGGATATCAGTTGGTGGTGGGGGGGGGGGGGGTCGCTATCATACGCCCTCAAAATCTGTCAAATCGTGGGGGGCATAACTCCCCTGCCCTCCCTCGTGGCATCGTCCGTTCCGCCGTGACGTTACCGGCGAGAATAGAATTCCCAGCTATTCACATTTCCTGCCTTCTGCTGCCAATATTCGATGAGTTTGGAGTGAAAGCTCAGATCATGTTTGGATTCGCACTGCCCACTTCGCGATGCAAGCGTATTTACATCGTCGCCCACTCTGTGGCCTAATTACGTTGGAACTATTTTTTTGTGAAATCGATACGCCCCTCTGAGCCTTAGATAATGCAATTACTGGCAGTAGAGGGTGATACGCGTGCCCATGTAATTATGGAATGATTAATACATGATGACTAACATAACAGCAGCGCTGTCGGTCTCAGGGTGGGAGAGGGAAGTGAGCACGGGCACATCATGACCAGCCTGCCAATTCTGTCCAACAGGTGTTGACCAATTCAGGTGTCCGGTGGTTGCCAGTCAATGTGGTCCTGTGGGGTCGGTCCCCACTAGAAAACAGAATCCCTTAACAGCGCTTGCCTGTTCATTATAACGATAAACAAACTGCACACCACCGCCGCCACCTATGTCTACCCTGTCTATGCCATGGTTGATGTACCTGTGAATCTCACTCATTGATTCCTCACCCATGCTGACGACTCAGTCTTCCAGACTGACTCTTTAGTCTCATCCCCACTGCGTTAACCACAACGCAACACTTTTGCTTCATCCCTCGTGCTGCTCAACTTCCCCTCTAATGGATTATCTTCCCAAGATCTCACAATAACTTGGTTCAATAATTGAAGAAATAATTTCACTCTTGTCTATTACGACTTTAATTGGCGCAGTTTCATTTTGGCCGCTTGCCGTTTTGGGCCTTTGGGGCTATGCACTTCACTCGAGATTAAAATATATATATAGTACGCGACATATCCCTCACCGCCACAGGCTTCCGTGTGCCACCAATGCATCTGTCCATTGCCAGCGTCTAAAGGCCGAATGTGCAGAGGATGTGCATTCTAGTCACGCACACCTGATTTACCTGTCAGGTGCAATTTAGAAAGTTGTTCTGTGAAGATTGAGAAGGCGGCTCTTTAAAATAGTCCGTAAATCTGCCCATCTCAGCTGCCGAACAACGGCACGCGACCCAGCAGGTAGCGTCGTGCCTAAATGCTCAAATCCAAGTTTGCGAGCTTGGAACTCAGACCTGGACTTTCCGAGAAGCGAGTACGGTGTCTCCAGACCGAGATGCCAGGTGTTTGACCTCTTGCACCCTTTGGACCAAGCGTGCTGTTTCATTCGGCGATTATCGGGGCGGTTGGCAGGGCGGAAGTGGTATCACAAGCATTCCCCTTGGTGTATTTCACCTCATTTATCCTAAAACTAGGGAAACTCTTTCGCGATGAGACACTGAAAGGCCCTTCTTGAAGTCCCTGACACCAATGCAGGGCTTGGCCGGCTCGCCACAATCCTTTTCAAAAAATCTAATTCTGTCGTCATTTTCTCTTCAAAGTGAGCCAATCTCATTCCCCAAAGTTCAGCACTTGTCCGTTCAAAGCAATCTGCTTCAACGCCCCCGTCTGTACAGCGCGAAGCTTTGTGCCTATTAAATTATGTTTCATTTAATTTCCCTTTTTCCTTGAAAAAAAATGAGACTTTAGGACACATCCAATATATCAATTTTTTTACACTTCAATCTACCGCTGTTTAAGAAATATATATCTGTATATATATATACCAAGCAGATAGAAACGTAGGTTTCGACATTCTAACCATGTTACAGGTATAACACATTTACAATGAATTAACATTTCAAGCAGGGGCCCATGTTCAGAGATAAGACTGCAGTGACAAAGGGGCATTGTACATCACTGTGCCTGCAGTCCCTTCATTTCTTACTTGGATTTTAAATGAACGTAAATTTATTGATTGTATCTCTGTTGCCTCCAACGTTTCTCTGGGTTCACTGGTTTCCTCACAATCGTAAAAAAATAACTCGGCAAAAGAAAGTGACCAAGCCCCAAGTGGGATAATTGCGAATATACATTGTGCCTTGCGGCGTGTCAGTGTAGGACAAGGCCATTGTATTGAGTCTTCTTCTTTGTACGGCTGATGTAGGTGTAGAGCAACAACTATAATTTTACTTTGAAGTGGTCGAGCCAGATAAATGCGTCTGGGCTAGCGGAGTGGTGCACCATCACTGTGATGATGGATCCTGCGTGTTTGCGAATCGGGCTTTGAGTCAACATTCCATGTTCCATGGTTCTGTTCTGGGTGACCACAGTTGCACACCGGACAGTTTTTATTTGTCGTTCTTGCGTCAAGTATGCGCATGTTTTGCCATGGTTCGTGTGTGCAAGTGGTTTAGCGTGGCCCATGAGCTCTGTGGAAGATCAAAGCCAGGGATATTCCTTGCCGGTTCTTTCACGAGGTCTTCGTGACTTCTTGTGACCTCCACTTAGCTTTCCACGCCTCATCATGGTCGACGTTGCATTGCTGAAGGTTAAGGGCCCAGATCCAAAAGGGCTTGAGCGACTTCAAGTGGGGGTGGTGGTGCGGGACGTTATTGAGATTCCGGTTGGTGAGGAGACTCACGGTTTTCCACGATTCGCTGGACTTCCTGGAGGGTTTACGGTATTGCGGCGAATGGATGGGATTGGGTGACAAAGGCCGAGCGACGAGAGTTGTGCCAGTGGTCATAACGTGTCGCCTTGAGGGTCGTTGCTTGACGTGACGTTGCGTTTAAAGATGCATCTAGGGGTATGATTCATATGTGGCATGGCCGAACATTTAAGTGCCTGAGCCAGTAGTGAAAACTCCACATTGTCATGGAAAGGGAGCAGTCACTCCCTAAGAGACTACCACTGTTGTATTCTCACAAAGTGGCTGCTTATTTAATTGACCGAACAGTTGATGGGCTGAGTAAATTTAATTTATGATAGCAATCGAAGCAAAGTGCTGCAAGGAAAGTGTGCCGACAAGTGCAATAAAGAGAATGGCATTGGAGGCGTGTTAGTGTGACTTAATGGGCAACAGTGAGCACTGTGTGTGTCACTGCCGCAGTGACACACACAGGGGATTCACACGCGTTAGTTACAGACCAGGTAAGACTCTGCTGAGACCGAACGACTCTTTTGCGAGATACACGCAGATTACAAAGCGAATGCCATAACATACACTCTGTATATAAGACAAAGGTCCCCCATATAGTCTTAACAGACTGTTCTGGCAAGTGCTGTTGACGAACACCTATGAAGGCACACGAGGGGGTGGTTGGCCAGCGGCACGCCCGGTCACGTTTGTCTCCCTCGTGGCGATGTTTACACACCGCACCAGGTACTCATTTGAGGCTGAGTCGACCTAGGGGAGGCCCGGGACCGGTTCAAATAATCGTCGCTGATGTTGGCTGTGAGCAGGAATTGAACACGGGTGCTCGGGTTCATAGCGCAGCACACTTACCACGACGATACTACCACAATAAATAGACAGGCATGTAACAAAACATGTCAAATCCGGAATCACGCGGCGACAGACTATATTGAAAGCGATAAGTAACAATTACAATTGATCAATACAAGGATGAGTTAAACGTTGAGCGAGGTTAGACTATGAAATTGAATGCGACTTAATGATTAAAAAATCATTGAATTCTTAGCTTACGCTGCTTTTCGTTTGTTTTCCTTCCACTGTTGTTTACATTCACAAACACGTGCGCCCCGGCACTGAAAACGAGAATCAGGCCAAAATGCGTCGACATTTAGGAAGCTCGGCATTTTCCAACGAGGGGGCCATGGAACACGGTCATGATGGACTACGGAGTGGAAGCCGAGAGACAGAACGCATCCCAAAGGATGCCAGCTGGATGCTTGGCATCGTAGGACCGTGAGAAGAGGTGGGAAGGCCCTCATACAGCAATGGATTGACCGAGGCTGTGGTGATGATATTTCGATAATCACCATCATTATCACCGGCCATGATCTTATCCACCAATTTACAAGATCCAATTGTTACGCACGCTGCAGCGATGCGCCGTTACGTCTCTGGCTGTACGGTAACGTGGGGTTTATTATACGCGAACGTCCGTGACGGGATTTTCGTTGACACCGTTTTTGATCTCGCGCTTTTTAAGCGAATTATCGTTTATCCTGTTTGCTGTGGCTAAGTTGAGCACGTTCCCTTCGCCCTGCGCCGGACTGTCACTGCCGTTACTCCCGACGCTCGTTGCAGAGCTGCTTAGCCTCGACGGGGGGCTCATTGTCCAGTACGGCAGAGTCAGTGCCTCGCAAACTCTCTCTCTCTCCTCTCTCTCTCTTTTCTCTCTCTTCCTATCCCTCCCTCTCTGTGTCCGTGGAAGCTGCACATCGCGTGCGCCAATGGCTACGTGGACGTGGCGAGCCTGCTGCTGGAGAAGGGAGCCAACATGAACTGCCTGGATGGGACCTTCTGGACGCCGCTTCACCTGGCGGCCAAGTACGGCCAGGTGGGTGGGCGGGCGGGCGGGCGGCTCGGAGCACAGCGGGCGCGGGGGGCCTCCGCCAACGCGGCCCCCGCTGTGGCACTCCCGAGGCGTTTTGTTGTGGTTCTTGTTGTTGTTCTTGTCTGTAAACACGAGGAAAAAAGTGGCCCAAAATGCCAAGGGCGGGCTAGCAACAAATATAACTACCCCTGTTGTAACGGATGTGTTGTTCATCAGAGGTTAAGAGGGCTTCGGAAAATATATGAGGATAGATTGATAGCTCATTTATCGAGAACTGCGTTTTGTGTTTAGTTTGTTGTCCTTCCCCCGCACCTCCGATTAGCACGGTTGGCTACGTACGGTGCAAAAGAAGTCCAACATACGCCACATACGACGACGAGGGCGAATTGAACGAGAGGCACTTCTATTTTAATTCATTAATTGCTCTTTCAAAGGGTCTCAAGGGGAGAGGGGGGTTGGGGCTGTCATTGTTTAGTCGCTTTGAAAGCTCACTGGAGCACAGTCGCACTGCAGATGCGAGATTATCCTCTCCTGCACCGAGGGGCGATTCCCGGTTAGCCAGCAGTGCGACAATGGCATTGCCATTCATGGCGTTCTTCCTGACTCAACCGGTTCAAGATAAATTGTCAGCTGCAACAAATTGCAGAGCACACTACCCCCCCCCCCCCCACCAAGCATCCTAGGCCCGGCCACTGTAATCCATCGCGGCCAGGGCCCCCCAAACCCATCTGCTTTCCAAGCATTGAAATAAGTTTCGTGAAATTAGCGTCGTCATTATGAAGCCACCTTCCATTGCAACGTTGCCCATGCCCTTCTTTGTCTGTGTTAAGGTGAGGCGTGAAAGCGTGCCTCGTTCCTATTGAATTTAAAGAAATGAGCACGTTGTTTTCTTTGGAGGACGTGTGGGTTTGATGCTTAGATGCTGATGATTAATTATTGAGCGAGGTAGGATTCATTGACTTCCGGCAATGCATCATGCCTTTGGATTGGCCCTTTTGATGAGAGGCGCAATCCTGATGTGATTATCATTATCGCTGTTAGACCCGCGGTCTTCCATTCTATCTCTCAGACGTGCATCGTGAAGCTGCTGCTGAAGCATAGCGCTGACCCCAACGTCATCAACTGCAACGGAGAGAAGCCTTCAGGTGACGCCCACACAGACACACAGAGAATCAGAATATTTATTTAGACTGGAGGAATTCGATGAGCTACAAAGCTCTTTTTTTCACACATGTCCAGTAAGCGTGGGTCAGAACGTTACAATAACAAACAACAAAAAAGCACGATAGGAGTGCAAAGTATAAGAAAGGTAAACAAATCACTTAAAATATATATATACAAATAAACTAAACAATGCTTATAGTATCATGTAAAGCCCACTGAGCTATTAGATTATTTTTCAGAAGCGACCTGGCCACGTATGATAGATCAACGAAGTGGGTCATCACCATGTGGAAATTTAAAGCAGGAAAATAATCTAAATATAAACGCACGTTGGCTACGTTACGGTGACGAAATAAGTCCAACACGCATACAAGAGACAGAGACCCATACACTTGGGAGGCACGCAGAGATCGCGTGGAACAGTCGCACCCTGGACGCGCAGGTGCCACCGCGGGTACCGCGGGCGACGTGGCCGGCCGAGTGAGGCTCACCCTCCGCCCCCCAACGGTGGCTTCAAAATCTCGCGCCGCTGCGTCAAAACTCGCGCCGTCCGGTGCTCGCGAAGGCGTTCGTCGGTGCTGATCCGGCACTTGCCCCGTGGTGGCCCCCGGGGGAATGGGGTGTCGGGGGGTACGGGCTTGCCGCACGCAGAGGTGTCCGACTCGGAGACCATCGAGGAGCTGCTGCTGGAGGCGGAGGCGGAGAGCGGCGAGCGGCAGCGCTACCGCCCGCTGGCGCTCGCCGGTGCCGACACCGCCGGGAGGGCCCCGGACGCCGCCACGGACGAGGCCGCGCTGCTCCGCAAGCTGTACGTGGCACGCGCGGCCGCTTGGCGTGCAACTCCTCCCCCCCCCCCCCCCCCCCCCACGTAGCGGCATCCTCACTTGCATTTATTACCACCCGCTTTGCCAAAGAAGGGCTCACAAGCGATGTCATCACATCTACGCCTCTATTTAAGGAACCAAACAGGAGGATTTCTCCACAAATCTGGCTGTCGCCTTATGAAGCTTGTTGTAATTACTGGCGAAACGTCGTACTCGGATTGTAAATGTTGTGGCTTGGCTCTCCAACACACCGGTGTTGCTGTACTAGTGACGAATTGGCACGTTCTGTTTACGTGACAACCCTTACTAGTCGGCTGTGTCAGGTGGTGGCGGGTTTAACCACACATGTATATATTTACACGATCTAACCCAAAACAATCTCTAATGAATGATATTGGTCGCCAAAGCCTACGTGTTAAAATATCCTAACTAGCTGGTAACCGCATTCGTGACGATATTTCTTTGTGCTCGCTGGTTTCTCTTGGAAACCACATTGTTTACCACCAATGAGTTTATGAAGGTCTTTTATATCGTTCTACGTTACCATGTGGATTTTAATGTTATCACAGTCATTTTATTTAGTCAGATTCATACATGATTCAATTATTCACCAATGAATCTCACGTATGATATAACTTCACACATTTATAAACCACCTCTCGCACCTCCTGCACCTCCTGAGACATTACCACGTAACCCCCGGGGGTCCGCGCGTCCCCAGTTGAGAACCGCTGCTGTAGAGCATCGTCATCATCATCATCATCGTCGTCATCATCGTCATCATCGTCGTCATCGTCGTCATCATCGTCGTCATCGTCGTCATTATAACATTGTAACAATGACGACGATGACGACGACGTAAAAGGGCTCTAGAGGTGCCGCGTCGCGATGTCTTGATCGCGCAATTGTGGATTCCAACCCTCATCCCTCGTGAGTTTGTGCTCAGCAGCCTGGCGTCCCCTAAGCTGCAGCCCCTCAATGCGGTGGCACCTGCACTACGTCGGTGTGTTCACGCGAGAGGGCATCGCAGATGGCAGTGATGGTGAGATGGTCACTTGGTTGGACTCTGCACGATGAGACCACGGAGGTTGAGTCCTGACAGTTTGTTTAGTTGCAGTGTCTGGCAGCAGGAAGGAAGTGATGGTGAAGTGCGGTTGTATTTGTAGCACCGGCCCGAATGGTTTTAGGATATTGCAAATTAAAGGTGCTGCTCCTTCAATTCTTCTGAAGCAGCTCCAGATAGTCCATCTTGAATGACTTTCGCCTCCTCCTCGCACACGCTCACCACATGTCTTGACATAGTTGGGAGTAGCCACGCTTTACCTCGCCATCGCTTTGTCATCGAGAGACTGCGGCGAAGCCACGTGTACTGCTGCCGGGTGGACAGAGGCGGGCGGGGATTCAGAAACTCGCTCCGTGCTGCCGCCCTGCCGCGCCAGGAGGTTGCGTCCAGCCAGCGACCCCTGAATCACAAATCGGGCGTGCTCACTTTTACGCCACGGGCAACATTGTTATAACAATGTTATATAACAATGTTATAACATTGTTGCAATTATTTTTATTTTTTTGTTTTATTAAATTTTCCTACCTACGTGACTTTACCGAAAGAACCAAAGAGTATGGATTCCTGCAGTCACGAAAGCTTCAAATCAAGATTGTTACAACGCCATTGTATTTGATTGAAACGCGTTCCTCCTTCATTCATTCCACTTTTTAACTTGAGCACCAACAGGAGTTGAGCGTCGCTTCCCCCTGCCAACTGCCACGGCGTCGAGACGGTGCCAAGGGTCCCGTCAGAGCCGATCACTCGCACGTTTTAATTCCGTAAGCACACGGTGGGAGGTTTGTGCTTTTTGAATCCAAATCGGAAGTTTCCAACGTTGGAATCTGACCCGAGGGCTTTATGCCATGTATATTAATAAATCCGCCCTTGGTGTGTGCATTTCTGGGTTCCCGGGATGGCTGCGGATTGAGAAGCGATGAGAGATGTCTGTGTTGACCGCCCCATGTTGCTGATTTTCACCACAGGGAGTGTGACCCGCCTGAGTCCGCCTCCTCTGGAGGGCCTCTGCTGACTCCTTGCTCACAACCTCATTTTAATTTAACAGCAAACGACAGCCTCACCTCTAGCTAACAGGTCCCCGGCAGCAAACGTGTATGTCAGAAAGAGAAAAAAAACATTTTAGAAGAACAGTTGTAGGTATATTTATGTCAGCAAGCCGCCATTCTTCACGAACAGCTTCATGTTGTGAGCACTCATCATTTTTAGGGGTTTTCTGTCAGCGCTCCCTATTTGCGCTCCATTGCCTCTCTCCCACCTACGTTCAATCGTATTCGCTCGCACGTCTCAGGCCATCGCCAGGCGCTCGGGTCCAAGGCTCGAGTTTCCTCGGCTGCTGGGTCCTCATTTATTAGGCTGTGTATACTGACATTTGGGGGGTACAATAGAACTAAAATGTAATTGCTGATATAGCATGTTATTTAGACTTGACCGAGCACGTCCATTTGTAGAGAGATTTTAACATTGACCCATTGCATTCCTCGTGATATCCTGCGCACATTTTCTCGCCCATTGTAGTTTGTTGCAGTGAAAGGAAACTGCACTGTTTGATGCACCTCCGTTTAGCGCGGTTGGCTACGTCTGGTGCGAAATAAGTTGAATATACATACACGCGCTGCCAGTACAACATAAGGGTCTTCACAATTGAACTGCTTGAGTAATTGTTTTTTTAGTGGAAAATGTACGTTCTCGTAAATAGTATTTTTTTTTTGCTTTCGGCAGCTACATTTATTTGGTTTTAATTGTAACTTTCAGATCAGAGTTTTTAACGATGAAAATATCTTCATGATTTTCAACATTTCCATGGTTACATCGGGGGGCAAGCGACGGCTTATGCGCACGTCCTGAAGGTCGCCGTGGCTTGCGATCAGGGATAGCGATCAGATGCGAGGGTGCGGATGATTCACAGGTGTGGCGCCAAGATGAAGCAGCGCAATCGCAGCGCATGTCAAGCAGCCTTGGAGGACGTCTGTTTTGAAGACGCATATCAGTGGTGGAAACTCCACATTGCTATGGCGGGGAGGAGAGTCGATCCGTAGCACAGATACCGTGCCTTTTCCGCCAAAGTGGTGCTCGTTTAATCGAGCCTGGAGAGGATATGGGCCGAGTCAATCCCCCCCCCCCCCCCCACACACACACAACAGGATTTGAACTCGCAACCTAGAGGCAGGAAGGCATGTCTGCCCATGTGACATCCTGATTTGATTGGCTGTGGCGAGTGGTGGAGGGTAATGTTAAACATTATCCAGAGTAAAGCTTTTTTTTATGTTTGGAACGCGTAAATATAATAAATGTGCCGTTCAACCGCCACCACCCAATACAGCCAGTTAGTAAGGTTTGTCACGTAGACAGAATGTGCCAAATAGCTACTCGTTCACCACACTGGCGTGTTGGAGAGTAAACCCAAAACATTTACAAGTAAAAAAAATACGTACATTGTACCTAGACGTTGATCTAAACAAAACGAAAATTATTATGAACAGAAATAGAGACCTTCATTGCAGTCAGCGCTGTCTAAGCCATGTGGCATGTGTTTACCAATCATCAGGTATGTCCAGCGTGACAACTATGTTTCATTTTTAACGGAGAAGATCGATCGGTGGGTCATTAGAACTGTCGCTTTGGAATCTCTGCATGACATCGCTTTTCAGTAGCGCATGCAGAAAGCCAAATATGCATGAGGATGAGTGATGACACGTTCTCTCACGCGTTGTAACACAATTTACATGTTGACACCACTCCAAAAGCACAGCAGGTGATGCACAGCATTCTCTGAGTGTTGTATGAATGGTATACACTCAGTAATATTGTGCTGAAGGTGCTGTTACTGCTGCCGTTGTTGGTACTGCTGACGATGCATGATGATGATGGTTGAATGATCATCAATGAATTAGCGATGGTGATGGCAATGGTTATGAATGATCATCGTGATGGATTGATGATGATCCTTATGGCTCGATGAATAACGATCGTAATGAATCGTTGGCTGATCGCGATTGAGAAGGGCTGAATGATGAAGTCGTAATGATGATGATGACGACGATGGGATGGAATCGAATTCAGAAGACAATTCGTAACCACAGCTCGCCGCACCTGTTACCTGGCCCCGTGAACGCCCCACGATCTTCACCCGAGCCCTCCCTTGTGCCGCACCAGGAAGCCTCTGCTGCTGCCCATCTCGAAGCAGGACAGCTTTGCGGAGAAGGACGCCATGTTCAAGGGCAGCGCCCTCTTCAAGCAAGCCTCGCTGGACGACGGCAGCGGCGGCCACAGTCGCATATTCAACAAATACGAGCAGGTCCGTACCCGCCACCTCGCACCGCTATCCCCAAACTCACGGCGGAGGATGCAGTGCAGATCGAATATCTTTGTAGGCATGTTGACAACAGGCGAGGCCATTTGCACGAGTGGAAACTGTAAAACGATACAGCAGCGTGCGACTGTAGTCATCCACAACAGATCATAAAATGCATCACGATGCAATGCCCGATCACCAAATACTAAGAAAGAGACATCACGGCGGTACACTCCGCTGCTACTCGTGACGCGGTTATCTGGCTTGACCACCTGAAGGTGAAATTGTAGTTTTTGCTCTGCATCTACACGAGCCATAGGAAAGAGAAGACGCGGTAGCATTCATCCAACAGTGAATGGATCATGGCTGCTGCTGCTGCCGATGATGGTAATGACGATGTTGTTACGTCTATGCTAATGGGCCGAACACAGTTGTGCAAACGACGCGAAAAATGTAAAACTACACAAACGTGGTGGACCCAAAAAATACACCCAAAATAGGTTCTTGATTAAAATATTACCCTGAATCATGTTAATTCACAGAATCACTGGGGGAGTGAATCATTACATGCAGAACAATAATGATTATGTCGATGGCACTAATGATGGCAATATTGACGTTAATGGCAAAGATAACGCCGGTGATGATGTAAGTACGTATGCTGAACTTCTTTCGCACTGTACTTAGCCAACCGTGCTAATAGGAGGTGCGGGGGAAGGACAACAAACTAAACACGAAAGGCAGTTCTAAAGAAACGAGTTTTCAATCAAGATGAAATCATCTTTACATAGGTTTAATCCTCACTAGTGAGAGGAGGCTTGTAAAATATATCAAATATATGTAAGAGGCATTGTACGATGATGTATCTGCTATGAAGAGACCAATGCCCCCAAAATGTTAAAGTGACTTTGTGCTACAATGAGCATCGAGGCATTGCTGCTCATCTGCTTTTTACATCTCTGCAGAGCCAGGAGTTGCGCTGCCCAGAATGCATCTCTCCATTGATTCATTCATACCAACGTACAAATTAGCCCAGGGTTAAATTTTTCACTGAATATGAAGTTCCATAGGCCACATACAGTGTGGGAAAAAAAAGTATTTGATCCCCTGCTGATTTTGTACGTTTGCCCACTGACAAAGAAATGATCAGTCTATAATTTTAATGGTAGGTTTATTTGAACAGTGAGAGACAGAATAACAACAAACATATCCAGAAAAACGCATGTCAAAAATTTTATGAATTGATTTGCATTTTAATGAGGGAAATAAGTATTTGACCCCTCTGCAAAACATGACTTAGTACTTGGTGGCAAAACCCTTGGTGGCAATCACAGAGGTCAGACGTTTCTTGTAGTTGGCCACCAGGTTTGCACACATCTCAGGAGGGACTTTGTCCCACTCCTCTTTGCAGATCTTCTCCAAGTCATTAAGGTTTCGAGAATGACGTTTGGCAACTCGAATCTTCAGCTCCCTCCACAGATTTTCTATGGGATTAAGGTCTGGAGACTGGCGAGGCCACTCCAGGACCTTAATGCGCTTCTTCTTGAGCCATTCCTTTGTTGCCTTGGCCGTGTGTTTTGGGTCATTGTCATGCTGGAATACCCATCCACGACCCATTTTCAATGCCCTGGCTGAGGGAAGGAGGTTCTCACCCAAAATTTGACGGGACATGGCCCCGTCCATCGTCCCTTTGATGCGGTGAAGTTGCCCTGTCCCCTTAGCAGAAAAACACCCCCAAAGCATAATGTTTCCACCTCCATGTTTGACGGTGGGGATGGTGTTCTTGGGGTCATAGGCAGCATTCCTCCTCCTCTAAACACGGCGAGTTGAGTTGATGCCAAAGAGCTCAATTTTGGTCTCATCTACCCACAACACTTTCATCCAGTTGTCCTCTGAATCATTCAGATGTTCATTGGCAAACTTCAGACGGGCATGTATATGTGCTTTCTTGAGCAGGGAGACCTTACGGGCGCTGCAGGATTTCAGTCCTTCACGTCGTAGTGTGTTACCAATTGTTTTCTTGGTGACTATGGTCCCAGCTGCCTTGAGATCATGGACAAGATCCTCCCGTGTAGTTCTGGGCTGATTCCTCACCGTTCTCATGATCATTGCAACTCCACGAGGTGAGATCTTGCATGGAGCCCCAGGCCGAGGGAGATTGACAGTTCTTTTGTGTTTCTTTCATTTGCGAATAATCGCACCAACTGTTGTCACCTTCTCGCCAAGCTGCTTGGCAATGGTCTTGTAGCCCATTCCAGCCTTGTGTAGGTCTACAATCTTGTCCCTGACATCCTTGGAGAGCTCTTTGGTCTTGGCCATGGTGGGAGTTTGGAATCTGATTGATTGATTGCTTCTGTGGACAGGTGTCTTTTATACAGGTAACAAGCTGAGATTAGGAGCACTCCCTTTAAGAATTTGCTCCTAATCTCAGCTCGTTACCTGTATAAAAGAAACCTGGGAGCCAGACATCTTTCTGATTGAGAGGGAGTCAAATACTTGTTTCCCTCATTAAAATGCAAATCAATTTATAACATTTTTGACATGCGTTTTTCTGGATTTTTTTGTTGTTATTCTGTCTCTCACTGTTCAAATAAACCTACCATTAAAATTATAGACTGATCATTTCTTTGCCAGTGGGCAAACGTACAAAATCAGCAGGGGATCAAATACTTTTTTCCCTCACTCTAACTCGGAGCCACAGGCATCGCCGTGAGAGGTATACTGCACGTGGTGTGTTTGGTGTGGAAATGTTTTCCCGGACGCCGACCAGAATGGACCCAGCTGATATTGACTATCATGTTTTTTTTCTTCTTCAAATTATTGTGCCGTATTACTTTTCGTACGCAGTGTATAATGTACATATATCGTATCACACTGACATCTGTACCAAGAAGAGATTTATGCGGGCTGGGTCATTCATATTTAATCTCAGTACATGATTGCGATCACAATAAAATGTATAGCGGATTAATTATATATGAGACCATTAGATCTGTGTGACAGGAGGAGGAGGAGGAATATCCAATGACACGTTCTTGAGAAGCATTTACCATCATCCGCGCAATTCACTAACGAATCAAAATCATGCTGTCTATTTCCATCAATTTACGTATTAGTTTTCTAAGCAAAGCATCGACGAAGCTATAGATTTACAAATGGCCCGTTAACTTCTCATCAATAAACAATTGTTAAAATTATACATCCATGATCTTACACCAGTACGATTTACAGTAAGACTTTACAAATGGTTTATATATCCTACAGTATTAAATAATGACAAACATCCCCCGCATAGCCTAGACCAGACTATTGGAGCTAATGTTGTTAGCGAGCACCTATTAAGGTCGACACAGCACACATACATATGTGAATATCCTTTACATATCTGACTCTGCACGTTAAAAATCAACGTATTTTTTTCATGCCTCTCATCAAATACAAGGACTTCCACGGATACATTATTTCAGCAGCATTGGTTCAATACGAGCCAACTCTGGACTGGTTTTGGTAATAAAGTGTCTCAACAGCAGTCAGCCTTGCTTGAAGCACGGTTCTCTTGGTACTCTGCTGACTGTGAGAAGATTACACTACCAACAGTGTACTGCTGGGCCAAATAAAATGTGAAGAAAATAAGAAATAGGATGGTGCTAAAACATTGTCAGAAATAGCTGATACAAGGTGAGATTGCGCACACAATTATCATTTTGGCACTATCTTTCATGTCCTTGTAGGGGTAGCCGTATCACCAGATAAACATGGGTTATCTATTTGCATAAATTTATCTGATCGATTGTAATGCGTTTGTGAAAATTCAATATTCCTGGCTAATAAAGTAATTCCTTTACATCTGCACATGGCCGCTATCTCCGGCCGCCGTGTGTTAATGTGAAGCTGCATCCATCATCTTGCAGCCCAGGATGTCACCTCTTCGGCAGCGATAAGCGTTTGCTTGCGTGCTGGCTCGTAGCATGACCACATTTGCCATTGGCTGCGCGGCGGTGCGTTGAATATCTATCTGAGTTATTTCAAGGGGATGGCGGTAACGAATGGATTAAATGCTTTGTTTATAAAGCAGGTGAGAGCCCTTTGGGCTCAGTGCTGTTAAAGACGGTGTAATCCGTTCCTAACTCTAGGGCACAAAGGCTACGCGACAATAATTTGCCACAACTAGTGATGCGCAGCCACGGTGGAAAAATGGATGTATTTCCACGTGCTTAGGTAAAGGGCGCCATCGTAGTGAGATGTTAACTACCTCGCCTGGTATGCAGGACTTCGTGGGTTCGATCCTGACCCTGATAATGCCTTGAAAAATGGGGTTTGGATGTTCTCTCCGCGTGGAATTTTCTCTGGCACCTTCGGTTTTTCTCTCCACATTTAGAAACATGCGTTTAAAGTTTTTGGCTACTGTAAATGTCCACGCGATAAGCCACTGCATTGAGCTATCATTTGTGGCCAGGTCGCTTCTGAAAAAGAACTATACAGATCAGTGGGCTTTATCTGGTAAAATAAAAACAATGGTTTCGTTTAGAAAAGAGCAGGGATGAGCTACATCAGATGCTCGACCGCTCTTTTCCGCTGGCATAACCGAACCGTGCCGGGGACCGTCCCGAGCCAGCCCGGCATGGCTCACGAGGCACAAGCTTTGTTTTTCCACTGCGTAAACCGAACCGTGCCACCGACGTCACACGCAGCGAATGAGTCGAGACGCGTGCAGATGACGCGGTGATGTAATGTACATTCTGAAAACTGTATTAGCTCCACCCCCTGGCGCTGCTTGGCCCCATTCAGTGGCTCATCAAACCACCGGTTACAAGGAGGTCCCCACGTTTGTCTCGGCTCGGAAATGCCGGTGAAAAAGTGATGCAGGCGTATGACCTTTTTCGAGCGATGCTTACATTCGGCTGACCTGCACGGCTTTCTGCGTCCGCGTGGCACTGGCGAGCAGGTGAAGCTGATGCCCCCGGCGCCCAGCGACGACCTGGCCACACTGAGCGAGCTGACGGAGAGCAGTCTGCTCTACGAGATCCAGAAGCGCTACAGCAACAACCAGATATACGTGCGTACCGCGGCGGCAACGGCAGCGGCATTGCAGCTCGCTCTGCCCCGGTGCTTCCATGGCTAACCCTTCCACAGTGATTACACGAATTATTTGGTGATGCTGATGGCTGCTGCTGCTGCTGCTGCTGGCAGTGGTGAACAAAGTAAAACATATTATATATATATAAACAAAACTCAACACGTTCGTCAATGATGATTATTTAAAAGGAAAAAAAAGGATAATAGTTTATTGATTATAACTACAATGGGACCATTGTCCAGAGCCAAACAGCAACGTGTCACGTGTAAACAGGCAAAAGTTATCACAGGTGTGGCTTACTCTAAATCACATTATCTCTTTTTTTTAATAAATATTGATTTTGTTTGGAAAAGTACTCCTTCCAGGCACTGGCAGTAAGATAACATAAAACTGTACTTTCCTGAATTATAATTCACATTTTTTTAAATGTATATTTTACCATTGTCCAATCTACGAACGGAAGATAGCTGCTGCATTTACCAATTAAGTTCAGTTGGGCATTGGCTCTTCCTCAGAGCACACCACAGTGGTTTAGTAATTGGTGGCATCATTAACATTGTCATTATCGTTGCCATTGTCAATATTGTCATCAGTAGTGCCGTCATTAAAGTTATTATTGTTTTGCATGTAACGATTCACTCCCCCAATGAGTCTGCGAATGAACACTATTCAGGGTCAAAGTTTTCATCAATAACCTATTTTTTGTTCTGTTTTTTCCCCCATGACGTTTGTATAGTTTTTCCATTTTTCGTGTCGCTTGCAGAGCTGTATTCATGCCATAAGCATAGACGTAACAACAACATCATTTACATCATTGGACCTCCTTTGCCAGTACCAAAATATAATAATAGGGTTTTTCTCCTTTTTAATTGCATTTTGACTGCAAGTATTGTGGTCAATGCAGACATGAATCCTCGTAAAAAAAGGGTTTCAGTTTTGTTGCCAGAAAAAAAGGGGGAAAACTCTATTATTATAATAACATCGTCATTACCATCATCAGCAGCAGCAGTCATGATTCATCCACTGCTGGATGAAGGCCTCCACTGTTGTCACGATGCCTCGTGGTCCCTTGATGTTACGAGCCATCGAGCTCCTGCGCATGAGATTATGTCATCTCAACTTCATCTCTAGGGCATATTCCCTTTTTCGGCACAACCACTCCCATCGCCAGTCTCGGCCATCGGCCACCATTGCCCCTCACGTCCCCGTCCTCCACGCCAACTTGAGCATCGGTTGGCGGCAGTCACGCCCCGAACGCCGACTCTCGTGCCGAGTCTCGTCAGCGCACCGCGCGTGTCTTCCCGCATTAACGCCGTCTTGTGGTGCGTAACCGCCACGCTGCGGTAACGAGAGGCCGCGCTGCGTGGGTTTCATTAAGCGGGAATGTCGCGGGGTGTCCCATTGCATCTCAGTAATGGGACCACGCTGCGCTTTGTCACATTAGCCGGGAGCTAGTGGCACGAGTCATTTTGACCGAGTCGTGGGGGCAAGGCTCTGCCTGCTCACAGCCAAAGATGCTTCCTCTCGGCTTATCTCGTCTCAGTCGATCATGAAAGGATGCTTAATTTGTTTTTACTTCGCCAGCCTTGCCATGCACATGCCACGTCAGAGTGGGCTCTCGCTCCGAAAGGTTAACGTTGTCTCGTGTTCAACCCCCCCCTCCACCCGGTGTCTTTTGGCGTGCGACCTCCGCATAACGGATGTGCGCTTCGTGGCAGCCACAGACTAAAAGCGATGTGCTGCCAAGTTCTATTCGGTTGTGCGTGCAAGAGAAATGCCAATTGGGTTGTGAAGAATTCAAGAGAAAATTGTCTATGATCCTAAAGAGGATGCTTCCAAACAAGTCTTGAGACTTTTTGAGGCTTTCATAGCTAAATGAACTCTGTCTTTACCAATTGAAAATGTATAAAGCGCTATATATATAACTGCCACGATATATCTTCTTTGGTTCTTTCGGTATAGGTCACTCTGGCGCACGAGATATGAAATCTTATTTGATCTTGACTTGATAGAATAAAGGATATTTAATTGAACGTTCATCACTGTCAGCGGTCGAAATGGAAATGAGGAAACGTGAATACAGACGGAATATGAATGTCTCTTGATTGGAAACATTCGAGGTAGCACAAGCCACAGTGAGCAATTTGAATAACTGGATGTAACGGGGACGAGTATCTAATGCAGAGGTGTTCTTGAGTCTTTTTCTTCTTATTATTATTATTTCGTGTGGCTTACAAAGATGCAGAGCAACAACAAATAGTTTGAGTTGTACGCCTTTTGGCGTCTTCTGGTCCAACACCAGTGGAGACTAGGCTCTAAAGAAAGCCGTCTCGGGTGTGGACCAATCAAATTCAAGGACAGTGCTTATTATTATCAGAGTTGTCTTTTTGTTTGCATTTTGACTGCTTGTGTTGTGGTTATTGCAGACATGATGCCTTGAATAAAGGTGTCAGTTTTTTTGTGCCAGTTAAAAGGGTAAAACCTATTGCTATAACAAATAGTTCACCTCCAGGCGGCCAAGCCAGGGAGCCACGTCAGGAGCAGCGGAGTGGGCCGCTGTCACGTCCCCTTCGCGTTTGTGGATCGGGCGTCGCGTCGTTAGCGGAATATGGCGGCCTTCACGTGGCGCACCACTCTTGTTGTTTGGTGAGAAATCGCGAGGGTTGCCGTCAACGCGGCCACCGAACATCGATCGTCGATCTCCGGGTCCACAGAGCGACATCACCAACAACACGAGCTCCTGAGTAAACATCACGGACGAGCGATCAATGTGTAGGGATGGCCACGATCGCCCGATGTCGTTGCCAGAGAGGGGGTGTCTGTGCGAGGACGGGAGTTGCTCTCCCTACATGATGGGGGGGGGGGGGGGGGGGGGCACAGCTGCGAGTCTCAGGCAGCGGCGATTTGCAGTGCGGCTACCGAGCGCCAATGCCGTCGGACTTCCCCCAAATCCTCGATAACTCGAACAAGAAGCGCCCCGACCGATTATTTTTGTATTGCGCGAAGTCAACTCGTGACGAGGGTTAATGTTCGGGCCGTGCGAACTGTCCGGGCGCACGGCCATAATCGGGGGGTTAAAAATTGCCTCGAGTTCACTTCTAATTCCCGCTGGCGGTTGATTCTTAGCACGAAAATGAAAAGGCAGGCTGTCATTTCTTGCACAGTTACTAATGCCTGCGTACTACATTATAGACTCGTTCATCTGTGCACGCCGAGAGGGAATGGAGTGCACCTGACGTGAGCGAAGCCATTACATTGAAAAGGTGATGAAAGCTGCGCTAAGCACGTTATATTAATTTGTGCGATCTCGTCCTACGTGGGAGGCTGTTCAGTAGGTGAGCCTGTTTCGTGCTCGGATGGGATACTGCCAAGTGAGCATGTCAGGTGTTGCAGGCTTGGCCTGCACGGAGGCCACAATTAGATGTCGGTGCAGCACCGGATGCCTGCGTCTGTCGTTTTCCGGCGCTTTCGAGTGCTGCAGCTCACGCGTGTGATTGTATTTCCCCTGCTTTTCATCTTGTGATGGAAACATTACAATTCGAGGATTAACATACAGGCGGACACGTCACGTTGTTGCAAGCAGCGGAATTAATACGGAGTGAAAACGTGTGAGCGCTTAACGGTAATAATTGCACAAAGCCCCCGCGCACGTACGGACTTATGAAATGTTTTTAAATGCAGAAACAATGAGTTCCAAAGCAGCAACCGCCGCAGACGCGAGAGGCGGCCAAATGCCCAATGCCACTGTGCCCTGCGCCGAACGCCGCCACCAAAGCGGCTGACAAAATGAAAACAAAACCGCGAGTCGACGCGGAGCCACTGCATTATTCATGAACGCTATGCATGCATCACGCCGTCGCATTAAGCCTCACCTCCGCGCACGTCAAATTATCTCATTGAGACCCCGCCGAGCGATGGGGTCAGCGCACGGGCGGGGCCGCCGTGTCGTTTGCCGTTGCCGTCTAATCACGCGGCCCCAAAGTGAGCCGCTTGGATGCATTCGGGACCAGGCAGAGAAGGGGGGCCCCCTTGACAAGCGCAGCTTTTTTAACGGGCTCACCCCCTAGCAATGCTGACGCACGTTTCGGGCGCTGTAGCAGCGGTGCGGTGTAGCTCTCCGACGGGTTGTTGTGAATTCACTCTCTGAGTTTCATTCGGTTGCCAGAGCGAAAGCTCCTGGCACAAGGAGGAAAACGTCGGCATCGTGCCGAGCAACACGAACGCGGCGGTACCTAAGCGGTCGTAGCCACGCCAACGCATTCAACGAAAATCATTGTTGGATTTTACGCCTTCGTCAGCCCGCGCTGACCAAATAAACCCCCACAAGCCATGCGCCCTCATCCAGCAGTGCTGCCCACGATGAGCGTCGGTGGGCAAGAGGCTGAGGCGTGACCCGCACCCAGTCTAGCTCGGGGTGACCTACCGCGGTCATCTCAACAAAGAGGGGCGCGGGAGCCAACGATAACTTGCTTGGTACACCCGCAGGCTCGTCAACTGGTGGGCCTGCCTGAGCTCCAACTCGACGAGCGTCGGCATTCGTTGGGGGAACACCGCGCTCCTGTCCAGGGTCGGGCGTCACCCGTGGTAGCATTCGTGCACGCGTATATAGACGCCACCGTGGCGAGATGTTAACTACCTCACCTGGCATACAGGAGGTCATGGGTTCGATGTCGACCATGACGCCTGTACATTTGGAGTTTTCATGTTCTCCCTGTGATGGCAATGGATTTTTCTCCGGGTCCTCCAGTTTTTCCCTCCACATTTAGAATACACGTGTTTAGAATATTTGGCCGCGATAACTTTCCACATGATAAGCCATTTCGTTGAGCTTTCATATGCGACTTACCTGGTCAAATAAAAAGAATAGTTTAGTTTATCTGTTGATTTGAAGCTTTCGTGACTGCAGGTATCCATGCTGAGTCATCTGAAGACGGACGCTTGTGTTGCGACCACAACGTTGTGTTTTCTTTTGTTATTTTTCCTATCTACGTGACTTTACCGAAAGAACCGGAGAGTTTAGTTTATATCTATGTAAATGCATGGTCATACGTGCGATCAGAGTAGGTTAATCCCATGTCAAATCTTAAGCTGTCACTCTGTGTCTTTTAATCACGTGTGTCCAAGGAACCTACAGATAACGTAAACAAGTCAATCAAAAGCCTGCGGTTAACAAGAAAAAATACACAGTCAATTTTAAGCCAGCCCCAATCGATCAAAGGTGCAGCAGATAAGAGGAGATTTCCTCCAAGCAGTATACAATGCAGGAATTAGAATTACTGTACGATACAATTCCCATGACCAGATCCTCTCAAATACGTCCAAAATTTCAAATAGTAAAAAATATATTTTAATGTTTTTATTTCAACAGTGTCTCATGATTACCATATTTTATAGTCCATGGGGATTCCCCCGTTCCCCCCCCCTCCCCCCTATTGCACCTAGAGTATTATTGTTTACGCTTGCCATTGTTTAGTGGAGTATTGAGCTGAGACACTGTGGTTTTACTGGACATCTGTGAAATTAGAGCTTCATAGGTCATCGGATTTCTCCAGGATAAACAAAGATTCTGAAAATCTGGGAAACGACCGATGATCAAACTGGAAGCCCCACCGGCCACGTGGGTCTGAGGTGCCATGTAAAAATAAAATGATGATGGTAAATTGTTATTTTATTAATATTATTCCAACACCACAAATACACGAAAGCACATGGTCAAGATACACTGTGAGCGTGCAACTGGCATGATCAACTAAGTCGTTCTTGGCTCGCTCTCCTTGCACAATAAATCCATCTCAATTCATTGGTTATGTTACTTGAGAAGGAAACTATTATTTGTTTGCTCTATTGATGCGTCGCAGTACTCTTTACATGGCATGGGAGGCGTGCTGCTTGTGCGGATGATGCGATGATTGTGTACGGCAATATTTGATCACGTTTGTGATTTGGATAACAACAACAACAACAAAAGTCAAGAAGATTTTAAAATAATAAGACAAGAAAATCGACAAAATGTGTATTTTTTTACACATCCAGACAGCACTGTTTCACCGGTGTATAGCGTCAATCAAAAAATAATCCTTAATCCGCAGTGTTAGCAGATAACACGCAAAAAATAAGTGAATTGTGTTTATCCGTGATGGCCCACAGAACATCGTGCGCATGAAGTTGCCCATCGTAGCATTCCAGTCGGTGTGAATTCCGCCGGTTCTCGGTGCCCCCGTGTTGCTGAGCGGCCCTTTAATGCGATGAATGTTCCCGCAAGCTGAGCGGTGGTGGCTGCCAGCTTCCCGAAGCGTGAAACTGTCGCTGAGCTGCCTGCCTGCCGCTTTGAGCCGGCCGTAACTGCACCTTGGTATGTCAATTTAACGCTACAACATTTGATTACGGCTCGGCAGTTGGCTGGCATGGGGCACCGCGGCCTCGTATACATTTGGGCCTCGGAGAGCGTGTTATACTACGGCTTTCTTCTGTGGCCCTTTCTATGCTCGTTGGATATTAGGAGGCACGGATTACATCTGAGAGGGTATTTTCATTATGAATAAAAAAAATAGTTAAAGGTTGCAGCCCTGCATTTGCTTGCTCACTCCACTTCTGGCGGAAGGTGCCTCCACTAGAGAGGGAGCTTTAGAGAGGGAACTTTCTTGAAAGCGCTGGGGAAATTGGAACCGAGCTCCTAACCAATCACAATTCAGTAACCCCAATTGGCCATCTCTACCGGACCCAATTTCACCAGATCAACTTTTCCCCGGTTCCACCCCTTCAAATCCGCTGACCAAGAGAAAGAGGGACACGGCCTGCATTCAAAGCTATAACTCCCACATGTACTCCTGCGCCGTGTATACAAATATTATATTATCAATTCATAAGTTACGCTTTCGCATGGTTGGCTCCGTACGGTGCGAAAGAAATTCAACATACATATGTACCACTGCTGGTCGTGCACACACTCCCACCCCTTCCACCACTGCCCAAACCAGTCCAGCCCCGTATCCCGAGGAGGGGGCGGTCGTGTCTGCCATTGGTTGTCCGCCTCAAGGGATGAAAGACCGATGGCGTGCGGTCTCTCCATTCCTCTCTTCGCCTCGTCCAAAGCAAGCTCCGTGTGTGCACTGGAATTCGCGCAATATCTGGTCGCCATACGACTCGCAGATGACAGTGAGGCAGTGGTTGCCGAGACGTTCTCTCCATCCCATGCGTGTGCCTGCTCATCCAGCTCAGGTCATGCCCTTTAAAAAATATAAAACACTCGTATTTTGGAAAGAGGGTATTTTGATTTTTCTCTTTTCAGTGATTTACTCATCCCTTGTGGAACTGTAGCTTCCTGAGTTGCAGGCAGAATGGTAAATAACAAATGCCTTTCTGTATATCGATAGTAGCATAATGAGCTGCATGGGCAATGGTCGTAGGGTCAGGGGCGAGGCACTGGAACAATGGAGCCATTTGCCAAGCAGACGGCGCTTCGGAGTGGCGATGTTTACCGGTCCCACGTTACCGACGCTCTGACTTTTGTTGTCATTGCAGACGTACATCGGAGATACCCTGCTTGTTGTGAACCCTTGCAAGGAGCTCCCAATTTATTCGAACATGGTAAGTGGTATGGCACGGGTCCCGTGCATTAGTCTTTGTGTCCCTACACAATATCCCTAACCCCGTAATTCAAATTTCGCATGCATTCGGTGACTCTATGTTACGTATGCATACATCTGATGTCTTCGGCATGATATATGTTTAATGCGTTGCGGTAAACCTACCGATGTGTGCTGGCTGGCTGACTCGTTCCATGGGTGGCTCCAGCCGAGATGATTTTATTGGCAGGGCACTCGGCTCACGGGTTGGCATGTTGAATTGAATCCCAGTTTGTGCTTGACCGCCACATCATCCTTCTGGAGCTGATAAAATGGGTGTTATTTTCCGGGTAAATTTTTACAGTTGTCTTCGGAAAAGTCTTTTGGCCTGCCTTGTGAATATGTAATGTCCACAACTGTTTCAATAGCGCATTGCGATAAGAGTACCACCTCATGCTAATTTATGGGTGATGGCACTTTAATTATTTAGTTGGTGGCCCATGAACTGGTGGCTGTGTTTTATTGTTGTTGAAATCCAGGTCAGTGTTCGGTTTTGCGTGTCCGTATTTTTTTTTACCCTGAATCTGGAACCCCATGAGCTGCTTGGGGGCCCTCAGCTCTTGCTTCTGCCAACCTGGCACCACCGACCGCCAGTGGGAGGTCAACTGCACAATTGGATGTCTGTATGTTGGTCTTCTTTGGCACCGTACGAAGCCAACCGTGCTCATCAGAGGGTGCGGGAGGAGGACAAGGAATTGGATTGGAAATATGTTACGCGCTGTGGTCTATTTAGTATTATTTTAAACAGTTGCTGAGCACAAGCCTTAAGACCCAACAGTGCGAAGCGGCCAGTAACAAAGACAGCACGATGAAAGCTATAACACATATGGATTAGCGCGTTGCTGGAATTTTTCGTGAGGCTTAGGGTAAAAGACGCGGACTGGTTCCACGGTCTTCTCTTACACAGCCTCCACATTTTGCAATGTCCTCATCACCAAACTTAATACTCCACATGTACCTTCTCTAGCCATGTTCGTGTTAAGTCCATGCTGCAGGACCACCTGTGTGTGCTCATAAATGCATTAACTAAGATACGTTATGAAATGAGGCTGTACATATACGGTTTATTTGCACATGTCGGTGGCATGACATTTTGACACCGTTTTTTTCCTTGTAATTAAGCACTCTTTATTACTTACCCTGTTTGCAGTAAGTTTTGGCAAGGGTTCCGTGTATGTAATTGGAGGTGTTTCTGCCCCTGTTCGTTTCCACATTTCCCTCCTTCCCGCGATGGGCTCTAACTGCCGCCACTGCCGAGGGATCCTTCTAACCGAGCTGCTCGGCCACGTGATGCCTTTGCCGGCTGAAATAATAAAAGCCTGAGACGACGAAGGTAGAATTAACTCGGCTGCGGCGTCCCTCGCCCTGTCTCCGCCAAGGCCACCCAGCTGTACGTGAGCCACTGCGGTCGCTTCTGCCCGTCGCTGCCGCCGCACGTCTTCGCCTGCGCCGAGCGTGCGTTCCACACGATGCTGCGCGAGCGGCGCTCACAGTGCTTCATCCTCGGGTGAGATTCAATGAATAATAATCAGAACAACAAAAGCTCGGTTTTTGTGAAGCGCCTTTTAAATGGGCGATCTCAAAGCGTTGCGCTGTGCATCAAAGGTAACGAAAATAAATATTATAAAAAAATAAAACACTGGCACACCACTAAAACCCCAATAACAATAGAGTAAAAGCAAAAATGTGCTTTTGTGCGAATTGTTTCGGAGGTTTAATTATGTTTGTTAATTAATAATTATTGATTGCTAACCGATCTTTTCGAAGTAAAATATATATGAAGCAAAATTCATTATTTGAATACACATCTCGACACGTTCGTCAATAACACAGTGCCCTTTAAAACAAATTAATAAACAAATAAATCTAGAATAAACAAATGGTTGGTTACGTTTTCGGGCACTGCGTCCTTCTTCACGGCACATGGAGATGCCTCTGTGTGCTGTGACAGAGGCAGATAATTTAATAGGAATTGTGATTGTGTGGCCCCATATCACTGCGGAGAAGAGGAGTTCTCCCGTGTTGGTAATGTCCACAACCCCGCCACTGGCTCAGGGCCCTCGATGGGAGATGAGCAACCGCCTTCAATGCTCATTCGAGCACTTTGACTTGAAATTTTGAGTTGAACCTTCCCTCGGTAACCTAATACCTAATAACAATACAAATTACGATGATGACGACGGTATGTGTAAACCACTATTCGCCCCACTGTGAATCTGTTTGGCAGAAGGGCACGGTGGGCGAATCTGTTTGTCAAAAATTTCCCAGATTGGTGAAAAAAAGCATTATTTTGGAGCTATATTTCGGGCTGTATTTTTACCTAATGTCTCAGCCCCCCCCCCCCCCCCCGGGTTTAATTCGACGAGAGACAAAGCCCAGACGTCTGGGCACACACGGCACTGTGACTAACAAACCAGTTAAAGCCCTCACACCGCACGATGGGTACGTTTCCACCCCCTACACTCAAGGTGTAGTCGTCTATTTCCTTGTCTTTTTTATTTCCGTAGATTTTCATTATTTCACGTTCTCGTGTCGAGCACTCGACGGGGGACCCTCAGTAAGGCCGCGTGTATAACGACGTTCATTTTAAGAGCACAATTTAGGTAGCGGTGGGGGTTCAAGCCTCACGCTGCGCCACGGGTTTGTCCTATTAAAATATTCAGCTCTCCGCTACGCCTCCGTGGGGCCTTGGCATTTGCTCAAGGCTGGCCGACATGCACGCTGTTCCCCTTGTCTTCTGTCTTGAGGATTTCGCATAGTCTCGTAAAGTTACGATGATAATAATAATTAATTTCATTTTATGCAGCGTCATTCGTGCAAACAGCATCCCACAAAGCTGTACATTATTTTTTTTTATAGATATAAGGACCACATCGCATATACGCGGTTGGCTGCGTTACGCCATGTACACACCAAGCAAATTAAAATCCTTCTGACAAGCAACATCAAAATGAATAAAAGATAAAGACTTGGCACCAAAACAAAAAGCACGATGAAGGATTTTCTTCAAAATATCAGACGTGTAATTTGTGGCTGTTTTTCAATCCACTTCTGGATGAAGGCCTGCCAATGTAGGTGATGTTAATTGGACGTTGTTTGACCATACTTATATTTATATACTGTTTATAAACAAGAGTAAGCAAGACGGCTTTTGTGTGCGAGCCAGACGGACCGAATGACCTTCGCTTATCCAAAACACCTCAGGTTCTCTTTATTAAAACATACGATGCTGGTTCTATTCCACCTTTGGGAAATCTTACGTGAGATTGGTTGCAACACGAGGCCTCGTAGATTTATGAGACTTCTCTCGGATAAATAACGTTAAATGCAATATGGTCCCAGCACGTACACGGAGAGGGATTTTAACGGGGACAGAAAATATTGTGTTTGTGTGTCTTGTGTCAAATGTAACGGCATTAGTGTTGTGGATTTCTACATGGAAGCTAGCATCCCTGTGTGTTTGCAGTTTTGACCCAGGGAAATGCCGTGAAGCATCATTGGGGAAGGGCAGGAAGCATTATGTGGGTACATTTACACGCTTCACTGCCATAGGCTGATTGGCATGGCTCTGCAGAGAGTTACAGAAGCATTGATGGTGCACCATCTGATACAGAAAAGGTTTAATTAACACGTAGTAGGCTTCTGTGACCGATATTACGATTCATAATAGATTTTTGGGTCAGATCGCGTACGTAATATGTGTATCACAATTCTGGCAACTGCCTGAATATGCTGGCTGTAACTACCAGTGAAACGTCGTACCCAATTGTTTTATGTGTTGGGTATTGCTCTCCAACTCGGATGATTTGAATCCACACTTTGCTGTACCACTGCATCCTGGCGAGCCAGGGTGTGGCACCTCGATGCCCACGGGAACGGAGTTTCACAACATTTAAGAAATCCACCAACCCCCGCTTCGACAGTGCTGGATCACAGGCTACGTGCATAGCCACTGGCCTACATGTGCCGTACGCGCGTGTGTGCACGTTTAAAGACATTGCCAATTTTCTTTTCACACCGGGTAATAACGCACCAACAAGAATCAGCTTGAACCAGTTCCATCATTAACGAGAGAGCAGTGATTGTGTGCGCGCGTGCGCGCGTGCCTATTTCCAAGACGTTCGCACACAGCGGTGCGAGCAGGTGTTTCGGTGCTGGGTGGTAATAGATTGCAAGCGACGTTGCATGAATTGCGAAAATGTTGCGGCAGAAACCAATCGCATCGGCGGCGGCAGTGGGGACGCCGCCGCCGCGTTCACACACCGCGGGGGCTGTCGCTGGTTCACCACCCGCACCCCTTCGCGTCCAGCTGAGCTGTGACCCACCCCCCCCCCCCTTGCGCCTATAGTCCCCGTGCGTTATACGAACCAACGTTCAGCCCAGCCAATGGGAATTTCCATCCACTGGAATAAAAATAACAATAATCCATGACAGAGGCTTTTGGGTTAGATCGAATATAAATGTGTCAGTTTAACACGTAGGCTTTCGCGACCAATATTATTCACAATAAAGGTTTTTGGGTTAGATCGCGTTATTTATAAATGTGTCGTAACCCCTCCACCACCCGACACGGCCAATCAGCAAAATAAAGTGTCACGTTGACAAAGACAATTATAAATGTGTCGTTAAACCCGACGCCACCCAGCACAGCCAATTAGTAAGGTTTGTCACGTAAACAAAACGTGCAAATTCAATACTGGACTAGTTTAGCACACCGATGTGTTGGAGAGTAAACCCACAACATTTACAATTGGAGTACCACGTTTCGCCAGTAATTACAACTTCCATCATCAGGCGACAGACAGAGCTGTCGGATTTAACAACACATTTATGGTAATAGGTTTTTACCCTTTTATCTGGCACAAAAAAAACTGATACCTTCATACAAGGAATCATGTTTGCAATAACCACAACACAAGCAGTCAAAATGCAAACAAAAAAGACAACTCTGATAATGTATGCACTGTCCTTGAAATTGATTGGTCCACACCCGAGACAGCTTTCTTTAGAGCCTCGTCTCACATAGCGTCTTCTGGTCCAACACCAGTGGAGACTAAGCTCTAAGAAAAGCCGTCTCGGGTGTGGACCAATCAAATTCAAGGACAGTACATATCATTATCAGAGTTGTCTTTTTTGTTTGCATTTTGACTGCTGGTGTTGTGGTTATTGCAAACATGATTCCTTATATAAAGGTATCAGTTTTTTGTGCCAGATAAAAGGGTAAAAACCTATTACTACATATTGTTACTGACAAAAGAGGTCTCATAACACATTTATATTTACGCGATCTAACTCAAAAACCTCTTCTGGAAAAGATTTGTCACAAAAGCCTAAGTGTTAAAATAATAACAATAATAATAATTGTGTTTATAGGCCAGGACAGGCGAGTGGTACATGATAAGGTTGTTGCCGTTGTTGTCAGCCTGTAACTTCTCACGACTAGGCCAGGACAGGCGAGTGGTACATGATAAGGTTGTTGCCGTTGTTGTCAGCCTGTAACTTCTCACGACTGGGCAAAAAAATCTGCCACCCTGTTTACTTGCATTGCATCCTTCCCTTAATGCTTTGTCCAATGGGGTGCCACGGTGGCTATGAGATGTTAACTACCTCGCCTGGTATGCAGGAGGTCATGGGTCCGATCCCGACCCTGACGCCTGCTGCTGTATATTTGGAGTTTGCGTGTCTCTCTCCGCGTGGTCGCGTGGATTTTTCCCCGGGTCATTTAGAATCAACTTTCACGCGTTTAGAGTTTTCGGCTGCCGGAAATGTCCACGTGATAAGCCACTTCGCGTCGAATTTCCTCTGGCCCTCTGGTTTTCCCTCCATATTTAGCAACATGCGCTTAGAGTGTTATTTGGCTGCTATAAATGTCCACGTGATAAGAAACTTCCTCGAGTTATCATTTGTTGCCAGGTCGCTTCTGAAAAATATCTATAGCTCAATGGGCCTCACAAACCCACGACGTCCTGTGTGTACCAGGCGAGCTAGTTAACATCTCGCCACCACAGGCAAATTGGAACATCATGCGATAATAGGCAGTGATGCAGATCCCGAGAATCTAAATTCACGTCGTCATTATAATACGGGAAGACTATTGCGTACGTGACGCGACTCAAGTGTGCGTATCTGTGCGCACCGCCCTTCGCATGACGTGTTAAGGCAGACGGAAGGCGTTGACGGTGAACGGCATTTTGATCGAAAAGAGAAACCCCTCGGTGCTTCGCAAGCCTCACCAAAAAAACCGGCACGCATCACACGTGCGCAGCTCGCAGATCTGGTGAGCAGCTTAAACAAGCTGAGCACGTGGCCTTTAAAAAGCGGCAAAGCAATTGGCGATTCTGTCGGGGGGAAGAGCCGTTGTATTGTAACGCCGTTCGGTGCAGTGGCCAGAGCCGAACGGCCGTAAAACCAGGATCTGTGCTCATTTTGTCTTGGGAATGGGATTGTTTAGCGTGCCAATGCCCAATTTGTATGCAGGCCCTCCCGTTTGGGTGAAGAGAGTCGTTGTGGTTAATGCCCCCCTAGGCAGGTATATTCGCAGCTATGGGGTTCATAACAAGTCTGCACAGTAACGACCGCCCCTAACGAGACTGAAATGTTGCCCGCGCCGGTTTACCGCTGCGAGATGTTAAAGCCGCTCTCACCCTGTCAGGCTCGTGGCTGAATGAGAATTCACTGCTCACGAGAATTCTTTTTTGCGCGATTCTTAATAGATTTTTTGGGGGGGGATTTAGGCCACGTAATGATCTAACTGAATGTTTGCCGTGCTGTGTAGCGAATCGTTACGCGTTCAGTACGCTGTACGGTGGCTCCTCAGGAATCGAGCAGAGTGTAGGGGAGGACTTGGCTCTGATTAGTCTAAATTAGCGCTCTTGTTTACCCATTAAAGCCTCACTCAGTCTCAAGACTCGTTTTTTTAAAATGGTCCTGTCAAGCATTTTTTTCAGTATGGGTCTCTGGCCCAAAAAACCTGGAACCAGTTAGCGACATGTTCTGGGTCTATCTTTGAGTCTGAGCCAGTTTTGGCTTTAAACAGTTGTTGTTCCAAAGAGTGTACACCGTGTAATCAGTGCGAATTTGTGATTGGACTGGACTCACGAGAGTGTGCAATAACAAGTGTCGACATTTACGTTGCTGGTGTGGAATCCCAGTTGAGTATTGCAAAGGTAACTTTTCACCATTGGGTTGTTTTGGTCAGTACCAGTTAGATTTAATATTTTGTTTTCTAGCAACAGGAGGGACAGGAGAACCATGCATAACAGGGGTAGCATATAACAACTCCATACATAAAGGCAACTGAGCCAGGAATTGAACCCAGTACCTTTTGCTGTAAGGCACAGGTGTTTTCACTGTGCCGCGCAGTGCTGAGGGCATGAATCTTAGTAACGAGATGCGATTCTGCCTGTATAGTTATGCCGGGTGGCCCATCCCTCTGCTGCCTACATTTAGAGATCACTGCACCAGCTTCAGGCCAAACAGAACTGCTTACGTGCCCCTGTTACACCGATCTATCTTGGGATTCAGTCACTGCAGGGCATTGTGTGTGGTGCGATGCAGGTAATTGAATGACGGTCGTTTATTTGTCGCGCAAAAGTCTTCAGCGGCGCTTATTAAGTCTGAAATATTAACTCGGCTCGAGCAATAGTACGCACGTGGAAGCTGGGGGAAGAATGATTTTGTAAATGAATGCAGACGTTCGCGAGTTGTGCCGCGTGTGATTAAGGAGGTGGCGACACGCTGCGAATGCCGTGGTCTGGGGCGCCCAGTACGTTGCTCATTTCTGCATTTTCCTTGCCGTGTCTGCCTTCACGCAACGGAGAGGTTTTCGGCGGCGAGAGACAAATCGGCGGCGGAGGATTGTTTGCGCAGGGCCTCTGGGTCTGAACGTGAAGTCGCCTACGGTTGAATTGCAAATGAGTGGAGAAGTGCGTCCCCCCCCCCAACACCCCACTGATTTACGAGGAGGTTTTGTTGGGCAGCGTTCACGGAGGGGAGCGCACTGTCCTCTCGGGCGCTATTGGATCAGCAATTGAGAAGTGGGAGTGCATAGATGGAGATAGCAGCTGGCCCTGTGTGGAAACCTCTTGCCCTTCGGGATTTCTTATGCATCTAACGCAGGTTTTCGGTGTAATTATGAAATGTTAATGGGCTTCAAATGGCATTGTTTTTTTGGTAATTTTCACTCTTAGAAAAAGTATGGGAGTTTTCTTTCTTTCTGCAAACGTGACTTGATACTGACCGTGCCTATCCAGGACTAAGCCTGGATAGGGCCTGACAGAGCTTGGCACCTGGAAGAACATTCTAAATTGTGGCCCTATCGATGGCTTAGGTACTGCTACTCGCAGGCCTGATGGATGTTTAGTTCACCCAGTAGAGTTACTATGGGAACCTGGGCCCTGTCTGCTAGGCCAGATCTCGAACAAAGCCTATATTTTTGATCAGTTTTAGGGGAAAAGTGTAATCGGCTCACCGTAGCTCTAGGTCTGGTTTAGTGGGAATCATCCTCTCTGTCTCACTTGGTAGTAGACCACATGGCTGTTATTTATTTTTTATTGAATTTGTAAAAGTATTATTATGCTCGTTCCTGCCCACAGCAATGAATATCAGCATTGCCCCAGTGCTTCCAAAGGCTTAACGTGTGTTCATGAAGATGGAATTTGTCGAAGTGCAGAGATGGAGTTTTCTCTTGACTCATCACAGGAAAATACACCATTGCCCAAACGTGACGAGGTCCATGCAACTACCAAATTAAACCCATTTGAGTGACGTTCTTTATAAGGCTCTGCAGCTTCAAGAGATCAGATATCTCTCCTGGCCTCCCTAAAGAAGTATCGCCCCTTCCGAGGCTTCTCTCCTACGTGTTCGTGAAGAAGCTCCCAGAACGTGGAGCGGACGTCAGGCCTCAAAACCGAGCCGCGGCCCGAAGTCTCACCGAGGAGCTGTACAGATTTACGCCTCCGATGAGCACGGTTGGCTACGTGCGGTGTGAAAGAAGTTCAACGTACACGTGTACATATTGGGGGCGTCCAGAGAGCAGCAGCCGGGTGAATGATTGAGGATCTTGCAGTCGGTTGCCCGTGACGCTTGTCGTTGCTTGGAGCCGCTTACAGATGAGGGAGGGAGGGAGGGTGATGTTTTTAGGGGTTGCCTATGGATGTGCTCGGCAGTAACTCAGAGAGCATTGCCTCGTGGGTGGGGTGGGGGCGGCGGTGAAGTGCCTGTGACTTAACGCAAAGCCGTCTCTCTGATATTGAAATATATTACTGGCTGCCGCCCTCCTTATCCTCCACAGCAATGGCTATTTGGCTCATGTTCGCCCCCCCAAAGCCGCCTCCGATCTCGTCCCCCTTATCTTTGTAAATTATGTTCTCTCGAGCCTAACCCATGCAATCTTGGGACAAGCCTTACTTCTCCCTAGCCACGCTTTCCCAAGGGTTATTATGGCTGCTGCTGCTGCTGCTGCGACTGTGAAAGCCTCTGTGAAGCGTCTCATTCGAAATACCGAGGCCGTTTCCAAGATGAAATGCACCACATCCCCTCCACTCTCACCTACTCTCACCTACTCTCACTCCACACTGCTTGCGGCTCCTCTGTTCTCTAATGAATGCAAAGGTTATCGTCGCTGTTTTCTGAGCGGCTGTCTCGACCAATGTTCAGTCTCCCAATCCTCCCTTCTCCCCATCCATTACTAACTTTTTTGTTTGTTATTAACGTATTCCAAAACTAGAGTTGAAAAGCGTGAATGCGTTAGCTCTGTCTGTCCGTACGTCTGTGTGTGCATCTGTCCGCGTCCGCCTGGTTGTACCATGTGGTGACACAATGACTCTCGTAAAGAAGATGCAATAGGAATGAAACGGGAGTTTAAAGTTGTGCCATTGAGCAACTGAGCGTTTGCTGATGTGGTCAGTTGGTCCTGGATTTGGTCCATCGCACACTGGGCCCATCTTCAACATAAACTCAGCTGGCCAATGATTGACGCTGTCGATGCGTGTGTCAGGAGGTGGTCATCTTTCTCTCTGACTGTAAAAATATTAAAAATTGACTACAGAATACATCGGTCTCATATATGTGTGTGTACTCTTTGTACACAGCTGGGGAGTGGTAGTGTAATGGTTAGCGCTACAAGCCGAGCGACCCATGTTCGATTCCCGCTCACGATCAGCAATGATGGCGAATATCTGATCCGGTTCTGGGCCTCCTCTAGGTCAACCCTGCCTTAAATAACTACCCTCTGCGGTGTGTGTAAATATCAGCACTGTTGAGATAAATGCAGCCGGCAGCATGGGGGTGCTGGCCACCCACCACGTCGTGTGGCGTGCTGGCCTTCATAGTTGCTACTCGCTAACAGCGCTTGCCCCAGCAGTCTGTTGAGGCTGAACGGCGTGGGGGGGGGGGGGGGGGGGGGGGGGGGGGGGGGTGGGGGGGGGGGGGGGGGGTCTTTGTCTTTGCGTGTGTGCGGCAGTGGAGAGAGCGGCTCGGGGAAGAGCGAGGCGAGCAAGCACATCGCCCAGCACCTGCTGCTCCGCGGGCCTGGGGACGGGCCCGAACTGCACGCGCGACTTGTCCACGTGAGTGTTTAAGAGTGGCAGTTCGGAAACTTATGATGGCATGTTGGAGGAGGGGGGGGCTATGTGGCTAGGTGGGTCAAGAGTCAGAGAAACACTGAGCCAGCATCATCATTGAGATCCAGGGGTTTGAATCCAGGAATTCGGCCGCCCGTAATTAAACCGCATCCTCGCTTTGTAGGAAGCGACAATGATTTCTCACTTTGCAGGGCGTGTAGGAAAGGGGGTTCCCCTCTAAGTGTTTGGGTACGAGGTGACGTGAAGGCATCTCCAAAGCAGCTGCGATATCCCCATCCACAGGCTATTCTGACAGCACTGAGACAGCAAAGATCCCCTCTGTACTATAGCCATACGGATCTGCTGGGTATAAAACATAAGCAGCTCTCTGTTCTGTCTTCACGTATATATTGTTTTAGTCCAGGGGTGGGCAATTTTTTTGACTCGCGGGCCACAATGGGTTCTAAAATTTGACAGAGGGGCCGGGCCAGGAACAGATGAATGGAGTGTTTGTGTGAACTCATATAAATGACATGTAAAAATAATTACATGAAAGGATTTGGCCTTTAACAGGTAGCAAAGCATTAATTTGCAAGGCAATTTAACAATTTGCACGAACATGAACAATACAGTTTAACACGTAGGCTTTCGCGACCAATATTATTCATAATAAAGGTTTTTGGGTTAGATCGCGTTTATTTATAAATGTGTCGTAACCCTCCACCACCCGACACGGCCAATCAGCAAAAAAAGTGTCACGTTGACAAAAGACAAATAATTCACTACTTTAGCCCACCGGTGTGTTGAAGAGTGAATCCACATTTACAGTTTTGAGTACTCAAGAGTGAATCCACATTTACAGTTTGAGTACTCAAACTGTAAATGTGGATTCACTCTTCAACACACCGGTGGGCTAAAGTAGTGAATTATTTGTCTTTTGTCAACGTGACACTTTTTTTGCTGATTGGCCGTGTCGGGTGGTGGAGGGTTACGACACATTTATAAATAAACGCGATCTAACCCAAAAACCTTTATTATGAATGAACAATACAAAAACATGTCGTAACTCCCGGTCAAAGTGAGCCATCTAATGGGGAGATGGGGGCATTACAGGAGAAAGGTAAAATTTTATTCAATAATAATAATATTTGGACAAGTTCGGCGGGCCGGATTAAAAAGCCCAACGGGCCGTATACGGCCCGGGGGCCGTACTTTGCCCATGCCTGTTTTAGTCCATCAGCCTCGGGGCTTACAGACCAATGTCATGCAGCAGAATTTTACTTAAAGCAACCAAACTCTGGATACATTTTGAGTTTTTTTTGGTTCTCATTCGTAGAGCTAGGCTTAGTATGCTGCTGCTGCTGGAGCCAGGTACGATTAATAGCAAGTAATGTCTCTCTCTGTGTGTAGGTGTCTCTCTCTGTGTGTGGGTGTCTCTCTCTGTGTGTGCCTCTCTGTGTGGGTGTCTCTCTATGTGTGGATGTCTCTCTCTCTGTGTGGGTGTCTCTCTCTGTGTGTGGGTGTCTCTCTCTCTCTCTCTGTGTGTGGGTGTCTCTCTCTCTCTCTGTGTGGGTGTCTCTCTCTCTGTGTGGGTGTCTCTCTCTGTGTGTGGGTGTCTTTCTCTCTCTCTGTGTGTGGGTGTCTCTCTCTCTCTCTCTCTGTGTGGGTGTCTCTCTCTCTGTGTGGGTGTCTCTCTCTGTGTGTGGGTGTCTCTCTCTCTCTCTCTGTGTGGGTGTCTCTCTCTCTGTGTGGGTGTCTCTCTCTGTGTGTGGGTGTCTCTCTCTCTCTGTGTGGGTGTCTCTCTCTGTGTGTGGGTGTCTCTCTGTGTGTGTGGCACAGCCGCCGTTGCGTTGATTCGTTTAGATTGACATGCAAATCTCTCACAATACAGTGGTAACCTCCTCAACTCTTCGTCGTCGTGGAGGTCATCAACCACAACCCCCCCTCCACCTCGGTTCCCATCTTTGGATTCCCCACACGCTTAGGCACAATCTCTAGCCCCCACCCTCTTGCCCGATGCGGCAACCCCCCTCCCCCCCCCTCTCGGCTCTGTATATATCAGGACTGTTTATCTCTCCCACCTGAAGACGATTGCTTGTGTTGCGATCGAAACGTCGTTATCTATTATTATTTTCTACCTACGTGACTTTACCGAAAGAACCAAAGAGTATGGATTCCTGCAGTCACGAAAGCTTCAAATCAATATTTAATAGCAACAGAGTTATACTGCTCTGCGTGAGATCTAAATGGATTCTTTATGCAGACTAACTGGTTATAAATGACATCTACGTCTAATTATCCGGCTATATAAAGGCACGTCTATGCTCACCTTCCCTTTTTTTTCATTTCACATTTCCCTCTCGGTTTAATCACGAGAAGGCCTTCACCCAGGAATGATACCCTAGGGGTAACAATGACGATCTTCAATTAAACATTCCCGATGAAAGGTCTAGACAGACCTAACGTGATCCCCAATTACTGTGACCAGCAGAGACCTTAAAGTGACAGACAGGTTGTGACGTTAAATATAATACAATAAATATTGATGGAATAACAAAGGTGGGTAATGGTTGTGGCATGTCCTAGCGGTGCCAGTGGGTCGTGGTTCGGCTCCAGCAGGCCACCCTGGTTATTGCCGCGGGTGTATTCATCATGAAATGCTGTGCCCCAACTACTACACTGCGGACATTGAAGGTCTCCTGACGTCATTCGAAAATGAGTAGGCCATTGGCATGCTGGAGTCACGGTCGAAATTCGCTGTGAAACGCAGCGCGTTCGTGATGGACCGTGCACTGTAAGAATGACGAAGCAAGGTCTCGGCGTATCCCCTCCCCCACCACCATTCGATTCTAAATAAATAGTGGGGGGGTTTTGGCCATCACGTCAGCTGGAGTAGCGAGCGCTTCGTTAAGGATTCCTAGCGCCCACGGCGTGAAGAAGCTCGCTTCTCGGTCGGGCAATTTGAATAAAAAAACGGCCTGCGAACGTTTTTGGAGGCAATGCGGAGATGGCAGTCTGTCGTGAGTTGGTGCCGTGCGAAGGCTGCGACCCCTCCTGCCTTTGTCGCTTTCATGACTAAAATGATTTTAATGTGACGCATCGCGAGCCGACGGCCTCGTAACGAGGCCGTCGAGGCCCACGCACCGATGCGTGGATATTTTTTTGTTTTAATTTTGCCGCAAATTTACCGACGTCTGTCCGTCCACCCTGCAGTGTAAATGGGGACAACCACAGTGATCCGTAGCGTGCGCACGTGTCGTAGTGGGGTAAGGTGGAGGTGCTCTCACCTGTTCCAAGCGCATCCAGCATGGGCGATGTAACCCCCCCCCACCACCACTCCACGACCCCCCACCACCCCCACCTCACGACCCCACCGCCCCACCACCCCATGCCCCACCCCCCACCACCCCATGCCCCACCCCCCACCACCCCATGCCCCACCCCCCACCACCCCACCCACTCCCCGCCCCCCACCACTGCACAGGGAAAGCTGCCGCTGGGAGGTCTCTCCCCCATCGCCCCGCCCCCTTCCCTCCAACGACCCCCAATCCCCCTCCCTCGCTTTTCACGCCATGCCAGCCAATGTCGTATAGCTGTGAATTTTACCCTTCCATCTCACCTTCCATCTCACCTTCCATCTCACCTTCCATCTCACCTTCCATCTCACCTTCCATCTCACCTTCCATCTCACCATCTCACCATCTCACCTTCCATCTCACCTTCCATCTCACCATCTCACCATCTCACCTTCCATCTCACCTTCCATCTCACCTTCCATCTCACCTTCCATCTCACCTTCCATCTCACCATCTCACCATCTCACCTTCCATCTCACCTTCCATCTCACCATCTCACCATCTCACCTTCCATCTCACCTTCCATCTCACCTTCCATCTCCACCTTCCATCTCACCTTCCATCTCACCTTCCATCTCACCTTCCATCTCACCCTTCCATCTCACCATCTCACCATCTCACCTTCCATCTCACCTTCCATCTCACCTTCCATCTCACCTTCCATCTCACCTTCCATCTCACCTTCCATCTCACCTTCCATCTCACCTTCCATCTCACCTTCCATCTCACCTTCCATCTCACCTTCCATCTCACCTTCCATCTCACCTTCCATCTCACCATCTCACCATCTCACCTTCCATCTCACCTTCCATCTCACCTTCCATCTCACCTTCCATCTCACCTTCCATCTCACCTTTCATCTCACCTTCCATCTCACCTTCCATTTTACCCTTCCATCTCACCTTCCATCTCACCTTCCATCTCACCTTTCATCTCACCTTCCATCTCACCTTCCATCTCACCTTCCATCTCACCTTCCATCTCACCTTCCATCTCACCTTCCATCTCACCTTTCATCTCACCTTCCATCTCACCTTCCATCTCACCTTCCATCTCACCTTCCATCTCACCTTCCATCTCACCATCTCACCATCTCACCTTCCATCTCACCTTCCATCTCACCTTGCATCTCACCTTCCATCTCACCTTCCATCTCACCTTCCATCTCACCTTCCATCTCACCTTTCATCTCACCTTCCATCTCACCTTCCATCTCACCTTCCATCTCACCTTCCATCTCACCTTCCATCTCACCATCTCACCATCTCACCTTCCATCTCACCTTCCATCTCACCTTGCATCTCACCTTCCATCTCACCTTCCATCTCACCTTCCATCTCACCTTTCATCTCACCTTCCATCTCACCTTCCATCTCACCTTCCATCTCACCTTCCATCTCACCTTCCATCTCACCTTCCATCTCACCTTCCATCTCACCTTCCATCTCACCTTCCATCTCACCATCTCACCTTCCATCTCACCATCTCACCTTCCATCTCACCTTCCATCTCACCTTCCATCTCACCTTCCATCTCACCTTCCCTTGTCTTTTCTTTCCGTTCAAATAGTTGAAGTGGCGTGGAAGCTCAGTGTCTGCACGGGGCGTGTGTCGTCGCGCATGTGTGTGTGTGTTACTTGTTGGGAGCGATAGTGTAGCGGTTAGCGCGCTGCGCTATGAACCTGGCGACCCGGGTTCGATTCCCGTTCACGGCCAACACCAGTGACGATTATCTGAACCGGTCCCGGGCCTCCCCTAGGTCGACTCAGCCTCAAATGAGTACCTGGTGCGGTGTGTAAACATTGCCACTTGGGAGACAAAGGCGGTCGGGCGTGGTGCTGGCCACCCACCCCCTCGTGTACCGTTCCGGCCTTCATAGGTGCTCGCTAACAGCACTTGCCCCTACAGTCTGTTAAGGCTATATGGGGGGTCTTTGTGTTACTTGTTGGGAGTTGAGATGTCGCGTGTTGTTGTGCTGCTTATGTAAGCGCACTTGAGGTACGGTAGAGTAGGGGAGAGAGGGGGGAGTGCTGGTGTATTCCTGGAGAGTCCTCGAGCCATTTAACCTTTAATTCTTTGAACGCATTGATTAGATTAAATTATGACCAGGTTGGCTTTCACGCCTCCGTGTGCGGCGGCAGCTGTGTCGCTCTCAGGAGAGGCACCGCGCAAAAGAGAGAGGGCCACCCCCACCCCACCCCGTGGCTAATTATCTCCCTCTAATTGCACCGAAGCAATTCGGGTTGGAGGAGGCAGGGTGAAAGGGCAAGATTGCCGCGTGTGTAAGTTCAGGTGGCGGCGGTAGCTGTGATTGCAGGCGAAGAGGACCCGCGTGCTTGCGTCCGCTGCTCTGCCGCGAAAATAAATAAAAAAAAACAGCACCGAGTGAGAATCCGCCGCGGCCGAAAGCGCCCGGCGATGTTCAACTGCGCGGCAGCAACCACGTTCCCCGCTAAGCCCCCCCGCTAAGCTGGCGATCACCGCTCGGTGTGGAGAGAGCTGGGCGAGCTCTCCGTTGGCTACGGTTTTAACGGAGAATGCCGTACTTGCGTCCGGAATTAATCCGGTACCGGGACGAGCGCGCGGCACCGGACGTACGGATCTACGTGCGTTTGCACGCGTGTTGAATTTCTTGCACAAACGTACGTAGCCAACTGTGCTAATCGGAGGTCAGGGGGTGGGGGGGGGGGGAGAACATCAAGGAAGGGTGGTGGGAAGGGCGGGTGGCATTTGGGCGTTGCGCTGCAGGGAACTCTCGTTCGAGTGTCACCAGTTCGGTCTGCGCGTGCAGCGGGATGAAGGGATTATTGCGGGCAGACCTCGCCAAACGCGGGGGGTTACGTTCCTGGAAAATGCCGTGTTAGGAAAAGATTTTGTTCGAGCAAATAAATCGACGTCGTGGGAAAAATAGGGTTTTGTTCCTGGGTCTGAAATTATCACCGCCTCTCTCTCTTTGTTTAAATTAGTGCGACGTGATTTCCGCCCTTGTTTTTGCACTAAAGGATGCAGAGTCGATATCCATCCCGTATGTGTGTGTTCACCCTTTATTTTTAAATTTCACCTCAACACAAAACCCCCCGTCCCCATTCCTTCTCCCGCACCGCAGCACTCACGCACAACGCTCGACCCTAACAACTGAAATTCCAGCCCGATGCTCGCAACCTCAGACTCGTGATCAATCCATCATCAGTCCACTGCTGGATTGAAGGCTCTCCCCAAGTCGCAGCCATCCTCGGAAGTCAGGCGCACGCCTTCATGATGAGTGGCAATGCATCTCGGTAGTGCGTGGGACTGAATGAAGTGGAGCTCTTCAATCCGGAGATGTCCACATGTAAGCAGGCGATGAGCGAGAGTGCTTGGATTGGTCAACTGCTCGCTCAGGTGTTGAGCTGCCCTTAGCCACAATGGCATTTGAAATTCATTCGTCTTTACCAGAATCTGATGAGAAAATCCCTGCTTAGATTGGGTTTGGCCTAGGCGCCACGTGAGCACACCATGATTGTGTGTGTATGTGCACTTGCCCCACAGGTCTGTTGAGGCTATACAGGGGGGTGGGGAACTTTATCTTTGCACGCTGTGCCTGTTGCTGGACAGGTGAGCTGCCTACTGGAGTCGTTCGGCAACGCCGTGACGCCCGTGAACGCCGAGTCGAGCCGCTTCTCGCAGCACCTGGAGATCCACTTCGAGGCGCGGAGCGGCCGCCCCGTAGGAGGTGCGCGATGCGCCAGCTTCTGCTGTCGTTCACTTAAGGCTGGACCGGTGCCTCCAGCCGTTTGTGAAAAAAAATCCCTTTTTATTACTACACGCTTTTATTTAACTCACTCTGTCTGTTGTTGTAGCCTCATATCTTGTAACTCTATTTTAACCCACTTCCCAATGTGATATTGACTGCAAACTTGGTATACCTATGTCATACTGATGACAATGCTATATTCTATCATAAAAAAATATATATATTTTAACCATTTTTTATGTTATGTTTCGGCTTGAGTTTAATTGTCCACGGTCAACTAACGCTGGCTGTAATTGCCCACGGTCCCTTACGTTATGGCAAGCTTCGGGGCCACTTCCTGGAGTCGTGGAGTTCTTCCATTACTATTCAACTTTTTAGTACATTTCATGAAAGCGTGTTTTAAAAAAAGTTGTTTTTAATTACAGTATATATTTTATTTATTCCTGGCTTCATGCTCAACACAGTATACGGGCGGAGCTATACTGGTGCAGAAGTTACCGTGGCTACCTGGGTAGTAGCCAACCGATCAGCACAGTTGCCTACGTACGGTGCGAAAGAAGTTCAACTTACATGCTCGCAAACCCGACTTGTGAGTCGGGATACCTGAGTAGTGGGCGGGGCCTACGAGCAGTGGGTGGGGCCAATGGCAGGAGGGGGAGGCAAGGTGTGGCAAAAAAAATTGCGTCTTGCTGTACCTGCATAAAAGTAAAAGAAACAACATTGAGAAAGAACAAAAAAACACACACATTACAGAGCCAGTAGAACGATTTACAGATACTGTACAGGCGGAAATCCATGGGTTCCGCGTGTCAGACAAGCACCTTAGCAGCAGCGGCGACAACGCCGGTGTAATTGCCATCGAAAGGTATCACCTCGGCGACGCGTGACGGGGGAGCGCGGGGGCGATGGCCAATTAGCGGCGAGCCTCACCCGGCCCATCGCACGGCCACCGCGGAGAGATCGGGACCCGCCAATTCGCGGCCGTTAGCCCGCACCCTGCAGCATCTCGCGACAAAAGCTCCGCCGTGCGCGTGCAAATTAGCGGCTGCGCGGACTCCTCGCCAGGTGGGCCAGTCCTCGCCGCGCGTGGCTGCGTTGGTTTCGCGCTGGCCGTGCGCAGTGAGCTCATTGCCTCGTTCAGCGTGCTTAGGACGCGGATCCCTGGAAAAGCGACACGTCGAGAGAAAACGCGTCATGCGAGGGATCGTTTTTTTTGCACGTACGTTACAGGGGAAGGAATTAATAATACAACGCAAAATATGAATCGCATTTGGACTATGTATATATAAAAAAAATCTGCCTGCAGCCATCCCACGGCGGGGAAAGAATAGAGATTAGGGGAGTGGCGTACTCTATCGCTCCGCTACTCCGTCGCTCCGCTACTCTGTCACTCCGCTGCTCTGTCACTCCGCTACTCTGTCACTCCGCTACTCCATCACTCCGCTACTCCATCACTCCGCTACTCCATCACTCCGCTACCCTATCACTCCGCTACTCCGTCACTCCGCTACTCTGTCACTCCGCTACCCTATCACTCCGCTACTCTGTCACTCCGCTACTCTGTCACTCCGCTACTCTGTCACTCCGCTACTCTATCACTCCTCTATCACTCTGCTACTCTGTCACTCCGCTACTCTATCACTCCGCTACTCTGTCACTCCGCTACTCTATCACTCCGCTACTCTATCACTCCGCTACTCTATCACTCCGCTACCCTATCACTCCGCTACTCTGTCACTCCGCTACTCTATCACTCCGCTACTCTATCACTCTGCTACTCTGTCACTCCGCTACTCTATCACTCCGCTACTCTGTTACTCCGCTACTCTATCACTCCACTACTCTGTCACTCTGCTACTCTGTCACTCCGCTACTCTGTCACTCCGCTACTCTGTCACTCCGTTACTCTGTCACTCCGCTACTCTATCACTCTGCTACTCTATCACTCCGCTACTCTATCACTCCGCTCAGCCGCACAGTTCAAGAACGTAATTCGACGTCGACCGCTCAGAAACCGCCTTTTAACGATGCATGTTCCGCGTTATAAGAGAGCCTGCCCCCCCTCCACTACCCTTTGGTATTCCAACACTTATTCACGCACGCATGATAACATGCCCGCCTGTAAGCACGTGTGTACGCGTCACCGTGTACGCACGCACTGCGGAATCCTGCTCACTGCTGCCAATTTCAGGTGGTGAATATCTGAACCGATCGCCGGGCCTCTCTTAGATCGACTCAGCCTTAAATGAGTACTCGCTGCGGTGTGTTAAAAACATGAGCGCTGGGGAGACAAAGGCGGCCGGGCGTGGTGCTGCCGACACCACCCCGCTGGTGTGCCTTCTGACTAGCTGCTCGTGAACAGCACTTTCCCCAACACTCTGAAAATCTATGAGGGCGATGTATGTGTTGTATATACAACCATGTGCACACATGCTTATATCTGTGTGAGCACGAGTCTGTGATTGTATACACATCTCCAAACCTGTGCGTGGACGCGTGCGTGTGTTTGTGATTACGCGCGCGGAGATGCGCGTGCAAGGTAATGAAAGGACGAACACAGGTGTTTATTTTTACTTTAATCATAACGGTCCCCGCGACAATCTTGCACTCCTTCAGCCCCGCTGAGTAAATTACAATGCATCGTGTTATCACAAACTATACATGTAGCATTTACCATTTCGTTTTTAGTTTGTTGTCATTCCCCCGCACCTCCGATTAGCACGATTGGCTCCGTACGCGTACAAAATAAGTTCAACGTACATACGCACGCGACCTACTGGATTATCCATCCGCCTAAAGCACAGTGTCTGTGAGACGTCCGGGAGCAACGGTCACGGCAAGAATGGCTTGTCTCCCGTTCTTCCCTCGCGCCCCGACTGGACATCTGTGAAAACAGAGCTTCTTAGCTCATCGGATTCCTCCTGCAGTAAAAACAACACGCGTTCTGTCTCACTTGCGTCTCTCTCTCTCTCTCGCTCGCTGCTTCTCGTGCCCGTGAGGCTGACTTGGTGGGGTTGCTCCCTCTCGTGCCCGTGAGGCTGACTTGGTGGGGTTGTCTCCCTCCCACGGCACACAGCCCGAGTGTTCGCCTACTGCCTGGAGAAGTCTCGCCTGGTGGCCGCGCCCGCGCACCAGGGCAACTTCAAGATCTTCCACCTGATGTCCGGCGGGCTGACCGCCGACGAGCGGAGCTACCTCTACCTGTCTAACATGGCGTCCTTCCGGCGAGTCACGCCGATCGCCTTCACGAACCGTGCGGTTCTGTGCCATGGCCGGGTGGTTAGGCCGTGGACTAAGACTGGTATTCTTCACCGGTTTTCAGAGAGGGGTGGGATGGGGGGGGGGGGGTCACTTTTGCCGATAAGACATCAATCGACGTGAGGGCCCCCACACATTTGAAACCATTGGGGGCTTGACAGCAGCACGGTGATGGGGTGTCTCCACTATTTCTGCGTTGTCGGGGGCCGCATGTCAGGGGTCGAACGAAAGGCCACCATGGGCTGCCAGTGGCCCGCGGGCCTTGCAATGAAGGACACTGGACTAAACATATTTAAAATCTTGACTTAAAGCTTTCGTGACTGCGGGAATTCATATTCTTTGGTATTTCGGTAAAGCCACGTAGATAAATCAAATAATAAAACATAATAAAAAATCATAACAATAACACGACGTTTCGATCGCAACACAAGCTCGTGCTGCGATCGAAACGTCGTGATATCACAAAACGTCGTGATATTTTTATTATTATTTTTATTATTACTTTTCATTATTTGATCTATCGACGTGGCTTTACAGAAAGACACAATAATATGAATATGAACATATTTTGGGTTTTTTATCGCTTTTTTTTGTTGAACGGGCCCCCATGATTTATAACCTGTAGTAACCAGGCAAAATTTGAGATTGAAGAGGCTGCAACTGGTCCAGAGTTTGCTTGCTTAAATAATGCCGCTGGATGATATTGGTCTGGAAAGCCAATTGACTGTTAGACTAAAAAAAACATTATTTATGAATGGAGAGACAGAACAGAGCCATTGCTAATATAGCTTTGGTTTTGGACCTTGAGCAACTGGGCATTTGCTGATGGAGCAAGTTGGGCCATAACACACTGGGCCCCACTTCAAGCTGAACCTCGATCAGCTGGCAAATGGCATACACTGCGGTGAGCGTGTGTGGGTTGGCCAAGCTCCAGGAACAATTTCCTCGCAAGGCCTGGTTGGACAATGGCACAATCCAACCCTAGACCCAACCAAAGCAACGATATCCAGAGATCACAGCAGCTGCTGCTGCAGTCGGTTTGGCTGCTCTGCGCGCCCCCTTGCAGCGTGCATGCTGACATCGCTCCAATATTTTTTGGGTTGCACACACAGTAAACCCAACAATGTTTTTATTTTAACAGGTAAAGTCCACTGAGCTAGATGGCTCTTTTGCAGAGGCGCACTGGCCACGAATTATAACTCAGGGAAGCGGCTCATGTGAACATTTATAGCAGCCAAATACTCTGAACGCACGTCGATTCTAAAAGCGGAGGGACAAAAAAAACGGTGGACCTGTAGAAAAATCCATGCGACCTTGGGGAGAGAGACACCACAAACGTCAAATATGCAAGAGGCGTCGTCAGGGTCGGGAACGAATTCCACGACCTCCTGTATACCGAGCGTGGTAGTCACAATTTGGCCACCTCGGCGATGGCCCTTCACGTGGCTTAGGCAGTGAAGCGGTGGCTCTATGTTGAATGGCAGGTACCTGAAGGAGAGCACTCGGAGCAGCACTCCCACGGCCAGCACGAGCGACAAGGAGAGGCTGGACGCCGTGAAGACCGCTCTGCAGGCGCTGTCCTTCAGCAACAACGTACGCGCGCCCCTCCCACGACACACACGCACACACACACACACACGCCTCGTCGGCAACAACCCGTGCAGAGGAACGTTCACGCGGGGCGTCCTAGACCAGGGGTGGGAAACCGGCGGCTCCGGAGCCGCGTGCGGCTCTTTAAAGACCGCTTCGTGAGACGTCGTTTATTGAGGACCACTGTCTTCGTATTCACGTGCATTGCGGTTATTGATACTTTGCGGGGGGTTACAGCTTTCTAAAAAAAATGCCTCTTCTTGTCATTTTGGTTGCCGACCAGTGTGCTAGACGTGTGGTGGTTTCGTACGGCGCAGCAGCAGCCACCATTGTCGCGCTCATGTCACAACCAATGGCTCATTGCTCACCAAATATTTTCCAATTCACCGGTTGACCGATCAGCAGTCGCGGCCATATGTGAGTGGTATCCTGGATGTGGTGTGATGGGGGTCCGGAAATATTGTCAGACCTGAGTGAGATGAAACCCCGATTATAACCGTACGGTAGTCGGCATCCGCAAGCCTCAGAGGCCTTGACTCCTGCCGGTGTCAATGCTGACCCTTCCAGAGCCGAAGAGTTGGCCAAAATACCCTGGAGAGAGGCTTTCTGAAGCTCTCCATTGGAAAGCTCTTCTGCCAGCAGCGGTGTGATCAAGCAGTTGCAGGGCTGCACGTGTCACCTTTGATTGATGCGCTCGTCGAACTGGCTGCTCGTGTGTAGACACACTAAATAAGGCAAACCTCAAGAGCAGCGCCGGCATTTGCCTGCGCTTTATGCGGCTTCAGTACCATTCTTCGTTCCCTCCAATGCACCGGTGTCACCACGCCTCCGATTGGTTGGCTACGTACGGCGCGACAGGAGTTCAACATACATCCAGTGCCAACATTCAAGTCCCCTTTCTGCACCGGCAGTGCCCTACCCTGACGAGATCTGTGATCGCGCGCGACGCAGCTTCAGTGTCGACGCCCTCTGCTGGGAAGTCGGGCTGAACGATTTGCGGAAAATATCTAATTGCGATTTTTCTGACAGCGATTTGATTTGCGATGACATTTTTTGAAGTCAAGCTTCAGTTCAATATTCACTGTGCAATAGATGTAAAACACGTGATGGAGCATTACCACGTGATACCATCAAAATTTGAACTGCTCTATATATTCTAACGCAAGGATGAGAACTTAAAAGATGTGAATTGCTTCCAACATGTATTTATTAAAATGTTTTAATTGAATTAGAACAATCAAACACAGAACAATTGTTAAGTTAAATAAATATAGTATTATAGTTATAATAATTTAAAAATAAAACAATTCCAACAAGAAAGTAATAGGACTTTTGAAATCTCAAAAAATTGCAGCCTTTACTATTTGCTGATCGCACTGTTTCAAATTACGATTTCGATTTGAAATCGATTAATCTTGATTTAAAGCTTTCGTGACTGCAGTAATTCATATTCTTAGCTTTTTCGGTAAAATCACGTTGAAGGGAAACAATAAAATAATTAAATATATAAAACAATAAAAATTCTCACGACGTTTCGACCATAACACAAACGGTCGTCATCAGGTGTGGTGTGAAACCTGATGATGACCATTTGCGTTATGGTCGAAACGTCGTGAGGATTTTTATTGTTTTATATATATTTTATTATTTTATTGTTTCCCTTCAACGTGACTTTACCGAAAGAGCTAAGAATATCGATTAATCGTTCAGCCTTACTGGGAAGCGTCTCCTGCCACGTGCCGTCAGCTTCAGTCGCTCACAGTCACCGGTCGCCTCAGCCTCCTCACTTTGCCGTCACGCTGACAACTTTAGATTTAGAGAAGACGCCGTCAATCTGTGGCGTGAAAATATTCCTCTGTCTCTTTTTATCTCTGCTGCCAGCGTTGTGTTCTCCTAGTCCAGCTTGGGCGCTGGGCATGAGCAATGTAAGGGAATCCTCACCAGCCCAAGCAACATTCAGGGTGAACCAAATCCCAGCTCAGATTCAAACCACAATGAGCATTCAAGAGCTAATTAATATAACACATTCCTGCGGAGGGGGCATGTAGGAAATTTTGAAATAATTATGAAGTAATTATGTACGGATATTTAAGCCAAACTTGTTAGGGTCGTGCGCAGAAGAAAGCAAAATGAAAAGTGAGCAGAATTATAAAACGACGCCAGAAAGTGCAGTGTGAAAGAGGTCGCACGAGAAAGTGCAGTGTATAATCCCCAACCTCCTGTGAATTAATCCCGGTTGGGCTTCCAGTCCATATAAGGGCACCACGGGGTGACCAGCCCCTCCCCACCCAGCCCCACCCCACCCAGCCCCACCCCTCCCACCCCCCACCCAGCCCCACCCAGCCCCTCCCCACCCTCCCCTCCCCAGCCAGCCCCTCCCTACCCTCCCTCTCCACCCAGCCCCACCCCTCCGACGTGGACAGACATCCACAGACATACACAATTAATCCCCTGCCTCCTGTTAATTAATCCCGGTTGGGCTTCCAGTCCACTACGTTTCCTACCAGTATCAGCACTGTCTTGTCTCATCTGGCTCCATGTTTGTCTCTTGTCTGTGTCTCTCTGCACTGCATTTGTCCCATTTTCTCATCTCGCTACAGTTCTTGATAATGTCTATATCTCCTCCGTTATCTCGTGAGGAACTTTATAAGTCAACTAGCTTGTTTGCCCGTCCAAGGATGGGTGTATATTGCAGTAAATCTGAAATATTCAATAGAAAAAATGTTCAGCTCATGATTATTAATGAGGGAGGGGGGGGGGGGGTTGCCCCATGTGGAGTGACGTCACGCGCGGGACACACACACAGTCTATTTTGGCTCGTTATATTAGTTGCTGCGTTGATTTCTTTATTAGCTTTACTTTCCATAAAGATAGGTCAAAGTGAAAGCTGTTCTGCGTAAAAAAAAATTCGTTTCCACTCCACATTCTTCATGCGGAGTGACGTCACCCGTTCAGGATTATTAATGAAGGGGGGTCCATGTGGAGGACCCCACCTGTTCATGATTATTAATGAGGGGGGGCTGGTCGACGTGAAGTGACGTCACGCGCGCTACACACAGACATTATTGGGTAAATATAGCAGTCAATATAGTAGTCAATGTTAGTAGTGAATACTGGGGTGGGTTTTGGGGGTGGCAATGGCCACCAAGGTGGCCCGGTCCTGGGCCTCCCCTCGGTCGACTCAGCCTCACAATGAGTACCCGGTGCGGCGTGTAGTAAACATCGTCACTCGGGAGACAAAGGCGGCCGGGCGTGGTGCTGGCCACCCACCCCCTCGTGTGGCGTGCCCGGCCTTCATAGGTGCTGCTACTCGCTAACAGCACTCGTCCCAACAGTCTGTTACAGGCTACACGGGGGGGGGGGGGGGGGGGCGGAGTGGTGGTGGACCCCTGCATTAGTGTGCCATCCACGGTGGCTGGCCTGCGGTTATTAAACCCGAGCACAACAACCGCTTTCACGCCGCCAGAGAGCCCACGCTCGTTTCTCAGCTGTCAGCGCTGTGGCCTCAACCCCCTCCCCGGATCTCGGAGCACGGGCTCGGCGTGCTGCCACGGACGCTATTCCCCCGCGGCAGTCCGGACGAATCCATTCGTTATTATTGCCGGCTGCGGACGAGGAGGCCCGGGGAGGGTAGGTAGGGCGGTGGGGGTGCTCAGCGGTGGTGCGCAGTGCCGATAGTGGAGTGGCCGCGACACATTGATCCACCCTGGTGTGCCTCGCCCCCTCCCCCCCGGGGAGCTTCACTGACGGATGGTGAAAAAAGAGGACCGATAGAAAATCCGCGGAAGCGGTGGACGCGTTCGACGCGACGTTTTCTCGCTTCAGGGTGTGGATGTGAACGCGCAGCCCATTAACGGTGCCAATGCGCTGCTTTGAGTTGCAGAATTGTTCCGGGGGGTTTTATTCAAGGATGTTCGTCCCACGCTGTATTTCCGTGGCCTCTGGTCGGCAACGGCCATGGTGTGGAACGGGGGGGGGGGGGGGGGGGGGGGGGGGGGGGCGGAGTGGGGAGGCAGATGGTAATCGCATGGCTAGGAAGGCTTTGCCTACAGCCAAGTGAGCCCTGGCTATGAGCAGCCATGACAACGCCTGCCTGGCTGCCTGGCTGCCCTCCCTGCCCTCTCCTGCCACCCGGCAGATTAATTACGTTCGTGAGAGGACGCAGACCTCGGAGATGGAGTGATGATATCGATTCGTGTGCGCCGGTGCCGGGTGGATTATCGCTTAGCGGGCTCGTGAGAGGCGGTGGGCTGAGGATTGGGGAGGCCTTCGTCCAGCAGTGGATTGACGACGGCTGGAGAGGGCGATGAAGTTTGCCCATCGTCATCGCATTTGAAAGGCGACGTTTCGTGTTTGCAGGGCTCGATCAGCCCCCTATAAAAGGGATCGCTCTTCGTTACGCGCAGTACGCTCCACATTTAGGGGGAGAAAAAAATATCTGTCACTGCCTTCGATTGCTGATGAATTGCCTCGCAATGAGCTCGTGTACCACAAAGTCAGTTTACAAGGGGTTAAAGGTTTATTTTCCCCGAAGTATCCGGGGAATTGTACAAGTGCCACCGTCTGCTGTGGAGAAGACATTACAAGCTGAGGTAATTTTCAAGATTCGGCTATCCTGCGGAGCTGAGTATGGGCAAAAATAAAATCTACAATCCTTACGCAAAAGTGGAAAATATGTTCTGCTATGGTGAGAACACAGGGAGTCATCACTTGTGAAACCCCCTCCAAAAGAAACACATCTGGGCCGCACGATCTTCTAATGTACGGTTACCCAGTGATGGTCAGCGCGCAATGGACTTGCAATCAAGAGGTCGCCGGATCGATTCCATTTCCCGGCACGGCAATTGATACAACGGCACAAGTTTCCTAAAACCACCCCACCCACCCACCACCGTCTGTGCCCACCCAGCAGCCAGCAGTGTATTCACATTCACCACAGTAAGTAGCACGTGGTGGAATAAAGCGGTCGACACGTCCACCCCCTCCAGAATGTCTGGCCAGCGTGAGAAGAGTAGGCCAAATACCCACGAGCGGGCAATCGCAGCGCTGCACCCTTCCCTTTCACGCTCACTCTGTGCCGTCTCATGGCCGTGTCTGGTGTTCTTCTTTCGTCCGGCTGCTGATGTAGATGCAGAGCAGCGACAACTGCAATTTCACATTCAGTCGGTCACGCCAGATAACCGTGCCAGGAACAGGGGAGTCCTGCCCCGTGATGTCGCCTTCGTATTTGTGGATCGGACATTGCGTCGTACCTGGCCGTACGTTTCATCGTCCAGTACTGCCAGCCTCTTTGCGGGAGGCGGGTAAAGGAATGTGGCTGTGGGGCACCGCGAGAGCAGAGCGCACCGTCGACCCGTGGCCGCCGCGGACGACTTCCGGGCGCAGCGAGGGGTTTTTTCACGCTCCGCTGTGCCTCTGAAAGCCAGCGGCTGGATTCACAATCTAGACGTCAAATTAGAGCGGCTACTCAATTCATAGCAACACAGATAGAAGGAGGAGAAGGATGAGCGGAAGCGTAAACCTTGACCGTGCGTGGCTCCGTGACAGGCAGCTCTCACCGAGTAGCGCGCGCTCGCCGGCTCGCTGCTAACGATGACCGTGCGGATTCCTTGAGTGCGGACGCAGCTGTCCTTTCACAGTTACGCAGGCGGCTGTGCGCCACCGATCCCCCAGCATTTGTTGACAGAGGACCCGCCAGCGCTCACTGGGAGGCCGTGAACATCGGGTGGGAACGGTCGGTGACCGGCGCTCGCTGACTCTCTCGCCCGCGCTGCCTCTCGCAGGACGTTGAGAACCTGCTGCTCGTGCTCTCGGCCGTGCTTCACCTGGGCGACCTGCACTTCCTGGGCATCTCCAGCACGGAGGCGGCGCACGTCACTGACACGCGTCTCCTGCAGCGCAGTGAGTGCCACGCACGCACGCGCCCGCCCGCCTGCCTGCCCGCCCAGCTGCCCACACGCGCCCGCCCCGCCTGGCTACCCACACGCCAGCTCACTCCCGACTCCGCAGCCCAGCGTCACGACGCACGCCAGACTCGACTGCAGTCTGTTCACAGGAAGGAGAGTCTTTGGGACTTCTCGTGAAGTGGCGCCCACTCGCTCGATCACTTCCTGCTGCTCAAATGAGCATTGGGGCATTGGCGCTCACCTCCCTTTTACATTCCCGTGTCAGTGGAGGAGATGATAACAATCATAATTTAATTTCACATGGTGTCATTCATGCTAATTGCATCCCACAACGCTGTACGTTAATTATATATAAGGGCCAATTCCTATATATATAGCTACTACCAAGCAAATGAAAACCCTCAGGAAATAAAAAATGAATAAAATATGAAATCTCACCAAAACAAAAGGCGCAAACAAGAAACAAGTTTACAAGAGTTGGTTTTACCCTTTCTGGGATTTAAACAGGCGTGTTAAGATGTTAAATAAAACCGGCGTGTTAAGATGTTAAATAAAACAGGCGTGTTAAGATGTTAAAACACCAAACTGAAACCTTTTGCAAGGAAGCATGTCTGCATTTACAACACATACTTGTTTTGAACATGCAAACAAAAAAACACATTCTCTGATAGTATATGATGATGCATTGTCTTTGAAGCTGATTGGTCCACACCAGAAGCAGCTTTCTTTAGAGCCTTGTCTCACGAACAGTGTTACACCAGAGGACGCAAAAAGGCGAACAGCACCAAGACAATGCCACTATCAGGACATTGAGAGCTCGGAGTGGGCAGCTGCTTCATGGGACCTCCCTTGCCAGAATCAATGCAGACTGATTCCTTGACAAAGGTTTCATTTTTCGATTTAAAGCTTTCGTGACTGCAATGATTCATCTTCTTTGGTTCTTTCGGTAAAGTCACGTAGAATGAGAATAAAATAATAAATTGATAAAATAAAATAACACAATAATATTCTCACGACGTTTCAGCCACAACACAAGCGGCCTTCATCAGGTGAAGGGACGAGACTGTCTGGTAGGACAGCACTCCAGCCTTCATCAGGTGAAGGGACGAGACTGTCTGGTAGGACAGCACTCCAGCGCTGTCCTACCAGACAGTCTCGTCCCTTCACCTGATGAAGGCCGCTTGTGTTGTGGCCGAAACGTCGTGAGAATATTATTGTGTTATTTTATTTTATCAATTTATTATTTTATTCTCATTCTACGTGACTTTACCGAAAGAACTAAAGAAAAAAAAGGTTTCATTTTGGTGTTTTAACATCTTGACACAACTGTTTTATTGCCAGGAAGGGTGAAACCTATTCTCGTATTTTGATACTGGCAAGGGAGGCCCCATGATGATGAAAAAAGTTATCACAGTGGAGGAATGAGTCTATTAGGTCAGCATCCCAGACCACAATCCCAACTTCTCACACCAGCAGCCAGCAGACCTCCACAGGAAGGGCGGTAGAGTGCCAGAACGCTGTGACTGTTGTGGGGGCGACCCTACCCATAGGATGACCACAGTTGGCTTCCCACACAAATCGCTCCCCATGTTATCGACCCCCCGTGGGGAATTAGGAGCTTAATGAACCGGAAAAAAACTCCGGATTTGAACTTGGCAGCCTTCCGCTTGCGAGTCGCTCGCTCCACGGCCGCGTTGAATCACCAGCTGATACACGCCCAAGATACATGCTTCATATTGAGAGCATAGCAACCTTCTACTAAGGTTATCACGTGTCAATCATATGAACCTTATGGCGGGACCTCGCATAAACTGCTTTGCGACGTCATTTTATATCTGTTGAAGGCGAACGACACGGCAATCTATTCCTCTCGACGAGCTCCAGACGATGCGCTTATCAAAGTTTCAAAGTTTTGTTTCTTCCGCGCATTCGTCCTCGCCCCTGCGCTTGGACGACACGACAACAGAATGATCCGCGCCAGGCGGGTCGCGGCATTGGTGTGCGCGGTGGGACGGAGTCGCTAAAAAATGTTTTATTACCATTTTGACTTCCGTTTATTCGGGACCCCGGGGGTCCCGCCATGAGGTTCATTTGCTAATCAGGACCGGCTCCAGCTCGTCTTCATTTGGGGGGCCAGTAGGAGTAGTGTGGTGTGGGTGGGGCCGCTGTATACTATTTTATTATCTTTATTTTACCGGCTATGGCCCACTGAGCTGTATAGCTCTTTTTCAGAAGCGATCTGGCTGTCACAGATGCTAGCTCAACGAAGTGGCTAGTGATGTGGAAATGTGTAAATGCTAAACGTGTGACGTTGATTCTAAAGGTTGAAGAAAAACCGGGAGGACTCGGATAAAAAAATCGCCGCGACCACGGGAAGAGAGACGAAGCAAACTCCAAATAAACATCAGGCGTCAAAGCTCGGGTTCTAACCCACGACCTCCTGTATACCAGGCGAGATAGTTAACATCTCACCACTGTGACGATATAACGCATAGCGCTTAGGAGGAGAGTGAACTTGGGTTGGCTTTTGAGACCTTGGGGTCATGTTGCGAGGACCCACTCCAGAAACCCTCTGGTGGCGGCTGCGATGCTAACTTCATGGTGATGGTACCTTCCTGTGCGGCGGGTGAACACGACTCGACAGACGGAAACAACAAAAGCAACACAAACGTACGGCGCAGGACTCGTTGCCACACTGTGTTCAACAACTCCTCGTTGGTTCTTTCGGTGAAGTCACGTAGAAAGAAATAGTAATGATTCAATAATAGCATACGATGTTTCGATTGCAACACAAGCAATCGTCATCAGGTACAAATGAAAGAGAAAACGAACCTAGTAAACTTAGAAATATAAAGCAATACGACACAGAGAGTCGGCTAACATAACAGTGTTGACTGTAAACTTAGAAATATAATGCAATACGACACAGAGAGTCGACTAACATAACAGTAATTTTTTATTTAAAGCTTTCGTGACTGCAGGGATTCATATTCTTGGTTCTTTCGGTAAAGTCCCGTAGAAGGGAAACAATAAAATAATAAAAATATAAAACAATAAAATTCTCACGACGTTTCGACTGCAACACAAGCAATCATCATCAGGTGTGAAACCCACAGCAAGAACATTTGAAAAAAGTGCTTTTTTTTAAATTTTCTTGCTGTGGGTTTCACACCTGATGATGATTGCTTGTGTTGCAGTCGAAACGTCGTATGCTATTATTTAATTTATTTTTTCTTTCTACGTCACTTTACCGAAAGAACCAAAGAGTAATTCCTGCAGCCACGAAAGGTCCAAATTAAGTTCGATGACTCTGTTAAATCTGCGTGCCCGAGTCACAGGTGCCCTCTTGTGGCTCTCTGCAGAGCTAACATCTGTGACCTTGAACGTTAACTCTGCTCCGGTTGGGAGGAAACTCACTCACTTACGAGGTCCGCCTGCAGTGTGTCGCTCATAGTACACGTCGATGTAGTGTGTACTTCTTCCTGTCTGTGTGTCAGCATTGTGCGTGTCCGCGTGTGTCCGTGCGTGTGTAAGCGTGAGTCCATATGTGAATGCGGTGTGTTACTTCGACAAACGTTGGGACATCACTCGGCTTCATTTGTGGCCGTGTGACATTGGCGTAAATTCCACTTTCCTGTTGACAAATGAGTCTGTTGTAGGTCAGCAATTGACTTGACAACACATGGTTGTCTGGCCATGCTTTGATTAACATCGATCTTACAAAAAAAACACGTTTCTGTTGTTTCTAGATTGCTTTGTACGATCTTTGTAATTGCGCAGCTATCGCAGCCATATATAAAGATAACCACAAACGACTGACCAGCTTCGTCAAATACAGCATCTGCTTTCAAACAATTGGCACAGTGCGGTGTTAGTGAACAAAACAAAACGATCACATGCACATGCTTAGTATTGAGCTGCTATCAAAGCACAGCCTACACCTTGTAAATAGCATGGATGACAAGATAACCATTTAAACCACGGTGGCTAGGAGATGTTAACTCCCACGCCTGGCACGCAGGAGGTTGTGGGTTCGATCCCGAGCCTGATGCCTGTATATTTGGAGTTCGTATGTTTTCCCCATTGTCGTGTGGATTTTTCTCTGGGTCTTCCGGTTGTTCCCTCCACATTTAGAATCAACATGCGTTTGGATTATTTGGCTGCTATGAATTTCCCCATGATAAGCCGTCATTTGTGGCCAAGTCACTTCTAAAAAGAGCTACATAGCTCAGTGGGCCTTAACGTGGTAAAATAAAACATTGTTTAGTTTTAAATCGTTCCTGTTCTTGTCTCTGTCCCAAGGCCGTAATTATAATATATATTGTGGGAGACACATTCCCCCCAATATTAAAATATGTTCAAAATGTCCCCCCCCCCCCAATATATTGCTATAAACAATATTTAAAAAAATAATTCTATGCGATGTAATAAAAACAAAAATTTGCTAAACCTTGGCCACAATATGATTGTGGCTATGGTTGTACTTTATAAATCCCTAATCTGTCATTACATACAATGAAACAAGAAAAGGTAAAAAAAAGAAAAAACGAGAAATGTAATACAATACACTATTTGACATTATTGTAAAAAAAATAATCCATCCCATGTGTTAGTGAATTTTTTAATATTTTAGACAGGAAATTTGTCTTCAAATTTAGATTTTTTCTGGGGGGGGGGGGGCTAGACCCCCTGGAAGATTTGGTCCCCCCCAATCTTGACTCCATGGCTACGGCCTTGCTCTGTCCAATTCTGAGCATGCACCTCTGCACATCTCTTTGCGCACTCCACGTACTTAAACCACAACTCAAAGCTGGTCGTAATTTACTCGTCAAAAAGTGTATTTTTTCAGACCAGACACTTTGGTTTGTTGCCGTATCATTTTGAGCAAAACGACAACGAAGGCAATAACAAAAGTCACATTCCGCAAAGTTTGCAAAAATAAAACAGTTGTTGAAGACAAATTTGAAAACCCAGCAGAACATGAATCCTTTATCC